TCAATAACGACACTATTGTATACAGTTTCTTTGCAAATTTACTAAGCCAATAATCAAATAAAATTCGTATTGCCAGAAAAATCCAAAAGAGAAAAAGGAGGAATGGGCCTATCATATGTTAGCTGCTTATTAAGCAAATTAATCTAAAAATAGAGATAAAAAGGTCACCAAAGAAACCCTTTAGTTTTCAATAAATGTTCAAATTTTTCTCGAAGTGCTTGGATTTCAGGATGGAAATATCTTGCCAGTTGAATTTAGATGTTTTTTTTTTTAAAAAATGTTTGTGCCAAAGAAACCCTTTAGTTTTCAATAAATGTTCAAATTGTAATATTGATTTGATTTTATGTATGTGAATGGTCATGGACACGTATGTCCGATTAGACCATGTGATTTTCTTGAATAATTATAATTGTAAGATTTGCATGAATAATTTGTAGAAATGAATAAGTCATGACAATTCATGTTAAGTTCTTTATTTTTATCACTAATTAATGACACTATTCTCTACAATTTCTTAGCAAATTTACCAAGCTAATAACGTATTTTTTATTTGAGCTGTTGGAGAAAATTAAAAAATAAATAGAAAATGGACAGTTATATGAACTCAATAAATAAAAAACACAGTAATTATGATCATAAAACGAGTTACAAAATTAAAATTTTCAATTAGTCAAATAATTATTTGTCCTGTGAAATCATATACGTAATTAATAAAATAAATGCAAGTTGAATTGTATAACCTTGGAAAAGTATGGTCCAATAAAAGCACATGAAATTAATTATTTAAATTTATAAATATTTTTATATATGTAATAATTTCTTATACATCCCAAAATTCATTTCCATCCAAAATTATTCTTGGTAAATGAAAATATTGTGTTTAGAAAGAATATGTCAAGCTGGATTGATCGGTAAATAAAAGGAAAAAATGTCAAATTTTTATGTAATTCTATTTTAAATTAGAAATAATGATAACTCTAGCCGAAATTATGATCTTGAAGTTCATTGTTAAAAAAAAAGGAAAAAAGAAAAAGAAAAAACAAGCTGTACAATTTAAATTCTTGTTTAAGGAAACCCGTTAACAATAAATTTTTACCATCTAATTGGTTGTAAAAGCATCTCTTAGCTTCTTTGACAACAGGTATAAAAGGTTTGAATGCTTAAAATAAAAAAAAATAAAAAAAAATACCACAGCCCAATATATGTGTAACCCCCATAAAGTCCTTAATGATGTCAATATACGTACAAGGATATCCATATGTACGTATATTCATATGTACATACATTGAGTAAGGGTATGATTTATGTGTCATTTTAATGTTTTGGTAATATTATTATGCTTGGTATTTATGCAAGAAATTAGGGGATGAATTTTCGGGTAATTTAGCTAATTATCGTTCATTTTCTTTAGTATATATATGGAACCTATCATGCAAGTGAGAAAGGTATTTTAAAATGTGGGGAATGTTGAAAAAATTTTAGGAAGGAAATTGCCGAATTATTGTTTAGGGAGGAATTGTCGATTTTTTTAAAGGAAAGAAATGCCATGTTACTTAAACTAAACTAGCTTAAGGGACTTAGTTAGCCTAACCACCATCTTTAACAAATAATTAGATACCTAAGCCTTCATTTAATGCAATGGAAGCCAACTCATTCCTTTGAGTAAGCTAACCCGCCACTTGTTCCTCTTAATCACCATTTACTTTACACTTGATAAATTAAATCAAGACACATGTAAACTAATTAAAATGCAAGGAAAATGGAGCATGTATATATATATAAGGAAAGAGATTACATGGTTGCATTTTTTGGTGAAATTCGTAGCTCACCCAAAAGAAGAAAAGGAACGTCTTTGAGAGGGAGAGAAACATGAAAAAGAAAGAGAAAAAAAGAAAGAAAAGAAAGAAAGGAGAAAAGGAAGGAAAAAGCTAGGAAAATCCTTAACAAACCTAAACTAAGTAAGTAGGTTTTTATTTATCCCATCTATTTGATTCTTAAATGTTAATTTATGTAATTGATCATGTTGTGTTGTGTTGGTATTATGTTGGATGGCTTGACATATAATTGTTGATTGTTACGGAACATGTAAGAAATGGTTGATATGTTGCTTGTTAAGTGTGGAAAGTCTTGTGCATGGCTATGTTTGTGTATTGATAGGTTTGATTGAAAGAATGAGGCTTGACCCAAACTTGATGGACTAAACTAGGATTGATATAAACTTGGACAAAGTAAAATAGGAAGGAAGAAAAATTAAATTTTAGGGTTTTTTCTAAGGTAACTTTCGGCGAAAATGGAAAAGATGGAACTTTTTTTATACTTAAGGACTTAAATTTTAATGGTGAACAAATTAGGTTTGATTAATCATTTTGAACAAAAAAGGAAACTTTATAGAAAACCAAAGAATATTTCTTGTAAAATTAAGAAACCCATTCGGCCCAAACTTAGAAAAATGGAGTTTTGGATTCCATTAAATTAATTTAAGAAGTAATGGTTTAATTAGGTTCAAATAGAATAAAATTGAAATTAGAAAGGTAAGTTTGAGGTTTGACTTAAGAACTAAATTCGGCCTAAAAGTGTTGAATTCGGGCTAGAATGTAGCATTATACCTTAACATGTTAAAAATCGATCCAAATGCTAATAACTATGCAATTCAAGTATGGAACGATTTAACGACGAGATTTACTAAAGGAAACAAAAAGGAAGTATTTACGTGCACAATTAGATCCATGACTCGACCAATATCATTTGTTGATATTTAACTCTAACGAGGGGAACATTACGATAAGGGGTATGAGAATACCCGAAACCCCGTGTGGGTTGGACTTATGAAAATATATGAAACCGAACCCTATATAGGTTGGACATGTTTAATACGGTAAATGTAACATCACGTGCATCATGTGCATTGTGGGGCGGGTTAAGAAAAGTCAATTGATTGAGCATTAGTTTACATGGTTAGGTTTGGTGACCTAGCTGGAATAAATGGGTATAAGCGGTTCAGTTGTGTGCGTGCTCTAATCCGTGTAATCGCACCTGTTGGGCGATAGATTCCCGCTAACGGTAGCTACAACAAGGGATAATTCCGTTGTTAGCATTAGGTGATTCAATAATTACCAATAGAGTAGACTTGCTAATACACGGGATACTCGAAATTAAAATCTATGAGTATGGTGGGGAAGTCCGAAAAACATTGCATATCACGTGCATCACCCCACATACCGAGTTTCGGCTCACCTCGTTGTTATTTCCATGTTATGACGAGGAAAGGGTCAAAGTAGCAAGGATGTTGTCGGTTCCTCCTAAAAAGGCTCATGTGTGACACAAACATAACGAAGTTTATTTTGATTGTAATTTTGGGTTGGGATGTCGATAGATATTTTAATGGTATTGTAAATAATTTGTCATTTCTTTCGCTGGATTTGTTAATGATATGTAATTTGTACTATACGCATTTCATTATATAATGTGCCTTTAATTTATGAGCACGTACGAATTAGGGATTAAGTTGGGATTTGATCGTGTCGGCGTGATGCGTTTTTCGCCCGACCACTCCTTTTTGGGTAATTAGCGAATGGGCGGGGAGGGGCGCCACAATATGAATTTATATTTACCCTTAATGATTAAAATTAAAAAATATAGGTAAACTATCCCATACTTTACAATATGAAATAACGTGAATCATCATGGTATGGACATGCATGGCTGATTAGATCATGTGGTTATCTTGAATAATTGGAATTGTAAAATTTACATGAGTAATTTGTTCAAATGAGTAAGTCATGATAGTTTATGTTAAGTTCTTCATTTTCATTACTAATGAAACTACTGTATACAATTTCTTCGTAAATTTAGTAAGCCAATAATCAAATAAAATATATTGGTCGAAAAAAAATCCATAATTTATATTCCATGTGAGTTGTTGGAGAAAACTAAATAATAAATAAAACATAAATAGTTTTGAGTTTTATAAATTAAAGACATAAAATGATTTACAAAATTAAAATTTTCAATTGATCAAATAACTACTTATTCTATGAAATCATGTATGTAATTAATAAAATACATGCAAGTTGGATCATGCATGAATTTATAAATTAATGAATTGTCCAATATGAAAATATCTAAATTTATATGTATGTATGTATATCCCAAAATATATTTCCACATAAACTAGTAGTTTCCATTATGAATTTTGTCTTGGAGAAAATATGTTAAGCAAGTTTCAAAAAAAAAAAAAAAAAGAAAAAAAAAGGGTAAGTGTGTAATTGTATTTTAGATTATTAATAATGATACTCCACTCCAAATCATGATAATATATTAAAATTTGTTGTTACACTACAATTTCTTTTAAAAACTATTTTGCTAGTTTAATTATTTTGTAACTACTTTACAACAATTTGATATTTTCCACTCTAATAAACTCTTTTTCCCAAAAAAAAAAATAATCATTTTCTTGATTAATTCCATATAATTTAATTATGTATATTTAATTATATATTTAACTTTTTCTTTCTACCATGTCCTCGCACCAATTTCTAATTATTATTATTATTATTTTTTAATTATTTTCAAATACACTCAATACAACTAATTATGTCATGCACTCATAAAAAAACAACCTAAATAGGATTACTCAAATTACTAGGTTGTCATTTGACAAATAACCCATCAATCAAACCCTCGTTTAAGAAACCCCTCAACAATAAATTCTTACCATCTCATTCACTGTAACAGCAATTATTCTTAACTTCTTTGACAGCAGTTATGAAAAGGTTTTGAATGCTTAAAATAAGAAAAAACCAGCCCAGAACGAGAGCTAAATGACTCTGGCTAACAACAAATTGAAAAACAACCTCCTAAAATTATGTGTTCCTATCTTTCTTCATGCATGCAAATTAAAGCCATCTCATTGACACTATAATTCTGACAATCCGTCACGTAATTCTGTCCTAATTAAACACTGTAGTAAGATCCAAGGAAATTGGAAGAGAATTTGGGACATGGACATCAAGGTATTAGCACAAGAAGGAGCCGAAGTTGCTCAACCCTTGTTGGAAAATATAGTGGAAAAACCAACAAAAACACCAGGACAAAAGGCCATGAGGAAGACATTCAAAGGCACAGCACATTTAGCCAAGCTTCTCCCTACAGGTTCAGTCCTGACATTCCAAATCCTATCTCCAATTATCACGCATGAAGGACAATGTCACACCGTCACAAGCCGAACTTTGACGTTAGGCCTTTTGGCCGTGTGTGGCCTAGCTTGCTTTCTCTTATGCTTCACCGATAGCTTCAGGGACGCGAGAGGCAAGGTCCGGTATGGAATGGCAACATTCAAAGGCTTGTGGATTATTGATGTACCGGTGGAGCTTTCGCCGGAGGAGGCTGCGAAATATAGGCTGAAGTTTATTGACTTCTTGCATGCATTCATGTCTTTCTTGGTTTTTGGGGCAGTTTCGTTGTTTGATAAGAATGTTGTCAAGTGTTTCTTTCCAACACCAACAGATGAAGGTAAGGATCTTCTCATTGTTGTGCCTGCTGTGATTGGGATCGTCTGCAGCATTCTGTTTCTTGCATTCCCTAGCAAACGCCATGGAATTGCCTGTCCTCTATCGCGTAATTAATTAGTACAATATCTTTTTACGTCATTAGTTCATGATTCAATTCTATGTTTTTTTTATTTCCTTCGTCAATTGTATGGCTTTTCTTGATCTATCAATCAAAATTTATTGCCATATTTCTGTGATTGATCTCGAAAAATTAATGTTTGGTTAACACATGTGTGAATTTCTGATTAATCGAGGTTATGTTCTTGCACTTTTAGAGGCTATTGGAATGGGAATCTTTTCGCTCACAATATACTTGTGGACTTCTGTGTATAACAACATAAAAAACAAGATGTTACAAGCAAAATTATCGATCAAAATTTCATTCATCAATAAAACCACAAAAGAAAGAAGAAGAAAAGGATGAAAAAAACAAAAAGGTGATCAAAATTTGGGCTGTTGCAAACCAATCCTTCCTGCTCTAACTGAACCCTTTTTCCATATATTTATGGGCTCTTTAAGAATTTAATATAAGATGTAGACTCAAATTAAGGACAGTATTATATATATACTTCTAAGATAGACGAGATCCATAGGCATAAGTCTAAGAAGAAAATTTAGAAGGAGAAACATGCAATATTCAATTAATGAATCGTAACTTTTGATCCGATTGGTATAAATTATATCAATCCGAAAAGATTATTAAGTGAACTCAGAGTAATAGATCACTAAAGGTCTTTCGAGATCGTTTTCCAAGTGAAAATTCACCTAGAATACCTACTTTTGCTCTTTTTTGTGATTCAAACCTGTATAACTAGTCTAGATTTCTCCAATTTTATGAATTAAAACTTTTTATTTATTTATTTTCTAGATGTTTGTATATTTATTATTAATTATTAATTTTTAGTTTATTTTATTTTTTAATTTATCCTTAAATCAATTAGAACAGAATATTTTTTTTTATACATGTGGCCACTATTATGGAGTTATTCACGAATATTCAATTATTTTTGGCACTTGTGTTGAATGTATGGCTTGATGCAAGTCATGCTAAAATGTTTGAACATAATTCTAATAAAAGGCTAGGCATGGAGATTACGGCCCAAAGGCCCATACATAGGTCCAATCTACTGAGAAATGGACCAAAAGGAGCAGGCCCAAGGAGAAATGGGCCTATATGTCAACTTATTTAGCAAACCTAATAACAGAGATTGGCCTAGTTTCAATGTCCACAAATTTCTCAAGAGTTATGATTATAAGGTGAATGTTGAGTTACTCTTTGAATTTAGCTATTTAGTTATGCTTTACTATCAATTATATATTGATATATTATTCTACATATAGCCAAAAAAAATTCAATGAAAAATATAAATATGATGTTTTCATGGTTTGCTTTGAATGATATTTATTATACGAATATATTATTCTTATCCTTATCGATTGAGATCTTTTCCGTGCTAATTCTTAAACATTAGTTTTCATTCACTTAATCGAAATATAATATAACATGTTTAATATAAATTCAAGTTATCAGCTTTAATTTTCCTAAATTCTCACTTAATTCTCCGAGGACTATAATGAACCGACCGAATGTTCTTACTTTCTAACAAATTAAATAAAAATTACAAGTTTGAAGGAATTTCATGAATTATTTTCTATCTTCAAAATGGAAGGTGGGCTTATGACATCAATAGAATCACATTATTGCCAGTACTAGCTTCGTCATTCAGCTTGTATTATCGTATTCGTCGAGCGACTCTATCATGATCATTCTATGCTACAAAGAAAAGTCTTCTTCTTCTTTTTTTTTTTTTCAAACTTGTAATAACTTAATTCGTTTTTGTACAACTCTTCAAGAATTTCGTTCAAAAGTTCCATTCGTCTTTTGAGATAGTTATCATGTTGTAGTGGAAGAGTTTCGTCGATGGAGGAGGCACCGAGATCCTTCAAATTCCGTCCAAGTCTCCAAGAATTCTACCATAACAAGGGATAGGCACATCCTTTAGAAGAACCCCGAGTGCAAATGGGGTCGAATTGTGCACTTGGTATGGAGATCGTAGTTACATTGGAAACATTTGTAGCCGACAAATTTTCCCATCTCATGACATGCACAACACTCGTATTCGTAGTTAAATGAGAATGGCATGATGATAAAGTTGAGAGGATGCTCGTGATCTCTATACTTATATATAGTTGGTAAGTATTGACCTTTGATATTGGCTCGGAGGAGGCAATCGGGACAACTCGATCCGAATTCATGATAAAATTGGCATCCGTCTATCCGCGAGGAGAAATCATATTTCTCGAGTGGATTGTTCATCGAAATTGATGCCGATCCGTTTCAAGAAGCTTTTCCACGATTGGTGACTCGGCACAATCTTTGTGAAGGATGAAGTCATCGCATTCTACACAATGATATATTGGTCCCGAAATTATCAATTCTTCGCACTTGGTGCATCTTAGCTTTTCTTTCTTTGGCTCCAAACAAAACTCAAATTCATGAACATGCATATCTCCCAAATCTCTTTCATCACTTTTATTACGATCCGATAGAGGAGGAGCAAGCACATCACCTTTAGGCTCGACATAATCTATGCTTTCATTCGTTCTCGCCGCTTGTAGCACTATACGAGCCAACTCTTCCACAAGAAATGGTTTTGTGGCGTCAACGCCGATTGTAGGAGCATGACCAACCTCAACATCATAACCACCTTGATCTTTTCCAATTTTGCCATGGATGATGATCATGCTAGCCCCGATGGAATTTGCAAGCTTCTCCAATCGGTCATAATGAGCAGGTCGAGAAAGCCGCATATTGATGACAACGCCGAGATTCAAATTTATCCGGGTTGACGAGATTTGAGAGACAATATCAAATATAGATTCAATATTACTATCTCTCGGAGAATCTTTTATATGAAGTAGATGGAAGAGATTTTTGGAGGGTCGGTAAGATATCATCTTCGCCGATAAGAGGACATTTAAGAAAAATGGCTAATTTGTGGGCTATGTTGCTATTATGAGAACTTGAATGGCCCTTCATTGCTATGATCATCCGTTTCGACATAGCACTCTCCGACTCCATTTCCTTCCTATATATTGTGTCTTTCTTGATCTCTCTTTGGATTTACGTTTTTTCTTTTCTTTTTTTCTCGATCTCTTATGATGAAGATTAATAGTTAATTTTCTTACAAATGTGTATATATATATATATATATATATATATATATATATATATATATATATATATGCTCAATTATTCTTTTCTTGGTTTTCAATTTGGTATTGTTTCTCTCTTTTACTTTTGTTTGCATAAAGCAAAGTATATAGAATTTATTTTTTTCATCTTACAAGTAAGGTATAATTGAATTAATATTCTCCTCCATTTAATTTCTACAAGTTAATCTTTTCTCATTCTTAATCTCTTTCTCTTCTTTTGAGAAATAAAGTATATAGGATTAGTAAGTACGTCCTTTTTCTTTCTTTCCTTTTTTTTTCTTTCATGAACAAGTGCCGGTAATTAGAGAATATACATGAATGTTTTGTGGGATTTATGATCAATAAATCTGCTAATAAAACTATATATTATATATGCTAGGATTACCACTTCAAATGACATTGAATTTATAAGGAATTGAATTAAATAATTTTATTGAATATTATTTTGTAAGAAATAACGAGGCCAACCAATTTTGCTTTTCCGGTTCGAACGGGGATACATGCATATGACCTTTTCTTGGAGTTAATTTTGCATCGGATGTTTGGATCGTTTCATACATGATGACTCAAGTCGGGACCTAGATTCATCTTTGTTTATATTTTGATGATGGTATGCTATCTCATATATTTTTTTTCCCTTACTTTTTTTTAAATGATTCACAAAATGAAAGTTTGTTACACGCTTATCTAATTAGGAACCTATAGAATCTTTTGTTTATTAGGTAAAATTGAATATATATATATATATATATATATATATATATATATGTGATCGTTTGTTTTTTTTTTTCTTTTACTTTTCTTTGCATGTTTCACGAAACAAAAGTTCGTATGCTTATATAATGGGAAACGTATAGATTTTTTTTTATGTAAGGTATAATTGAATATATATATATATATATATATATATATATATATATATATGATGACTTTGTTCTTTTCTTATTTTTTTAACTTAATTTGATATTGTTTCTAAGATCACACCTTATTTTGAGGAAAAAGTAGTTAATTAATGATATAAAACAAGTAGATGACGATCACAAACATAAGTTTAAGGAGATAATTTAAAAGAAAAAACATATAGCACTCAATTAACGAATCGTAACTTTTGATTTGAATGTTCAATTGGTGCAAATTTTATCAATCCAAAAGGATTATTAAATAGCTCCAAGGTAAAATATCACTAAAGTTCTTTCAATATCATTTTTGAAATCAAAATCCATTTGGAATGTCCACTTTTACTTCTTCTTTTTTGTGATTCGGACTCGCATAACTAGTTTAGATTGCTCTAGTTTTACGAATTAAAACTTATTTATTTATTTATTTTTTAACTATTCATATTTTTGTTATTAATTATTAATTTTTAGTTTATTTTATTTTCTAATTTAGCTTTAAATCAATTAGGACAATTTTTTTTTTTTTAAAGACATGTGGCCACTATTATTGTGTTATTCACGAATATTCAATTATTTTTGGCGCATGTATTGAGTATATGGCTTGATGCAAGTCATGCCAAAATATTTGAACGTAGTTTAAATAAAAACTAGGCCTGGAGATTACAGCCCAAAGGCCAAAACATAGGTCCAATTTACTGAGAAGTGGACCATAAGCAGCAGGCCCAAGGAGGAATGGGCTTATACGTCAACTTATTGAGCAAACCTAATCACATAGAGTGGCTCAGTTTAACTTGAGCTTTCTCAACAAAAGTCCACAAATTTCTCAAGAGTTATGATTAATATAGGAAGGATTCTGCGGCCGTGACTGCTGAGTTACTTTTTTTTTTTTAATCAAGGTTTTTAGCATAATTCATTTATAAAAATTTGAACTCGTAATCTTTTTTTTTTTTTTTTTTTTTTAAGAAATCATTATCACTGGTTACAAGTTGTTCGGTCTAAGTTATTTTTTGAATTTAGGTATTTAGTTATGTTTTACTATCAATTTTATATTGATATATTATTCTATATATAGCCATAAACTTTTCAATGAAAAATATAAATATGATGTTTTGGTATTTTTCTTTGAATGATATTTTTTATACGGATATATTATTTTTATTAGATTGGGATATTTTCGGTGTTAATTCTTATGCATTAGTTTTTATTCACGTAATCAAGATATAATCTAGCATGTTTAGTATAAATCAAGGTTATGAGTTTTAATTTTATTTTTATTTTTTTCTTATAGAAATACTTAAATTGTCGGATAAAAAAGTGTTATTTCTTTCTTTTTTTACATCGTAAATTATTTTCGGATCTGTTTTTAGATATTATAATCAAAACACTCACACAAAGATTAATATTAATGTTTCCACATTTTTTTCCCTCTCGAACTATACTTCAAATAGGATACAATAATGTAACAACAAATTCAATGTGATAGTTGAGCTAACATTACAAAGAAATTTGAGCATCATTTGGATTGACATTGAAAATTTCCGAGCATGTTTTTTATAATATAAATTTAGAAAAGATCACTTTCTGTAGAAAAATTCACATGCTCTGTCTTATTGGACAAAACATGCAAGCAAATGGAGAAATAATAAAGGACCATTTATGTACCATATTTACGAAAAGACCTTGTTTTGAACCCGAAGAATATGCCTTGCAAACAGTCAAATAAAAGAAAAATATATGACTCGAAAAGAGTAAGAAGAGGAAAAGCATTTGAGAAAATTGTAAACTAGTCCCTTTAGTTTTGAAAAACAAATTAATTACTCCTTTTTGTTGAAAAAACTAATTACTTAATCTCTTTAACCAATATTAACCTTTCTTATTTAATATTACTATATTTTTTAAAAAATATCTTATTTTTTTGTCAATCTTTCCATAATATCTATCTTAAAAAAAAAGAAAATAAAATGGACGAAAGACCTAAATAATTAGTTTTTGAAACAAAAAGATTAATTAATTTATTTTTCAAAACTAAAAGAACTAATTTATAATTTACTCAAACCAATTCGATAGTTTTTTTTTTTAATGAACAGATATACCTGTAGCATGGAGTAAATTATGAATCAGTTTATCTAGTTTCAAGAAACAAATTAGTTAGATCTTCTCATTTAAAAAATTATTATTTAATCCTTTAACCAATGTTAACTATGTTTAATTTAATATTATTTTTATTCCATAAAATCTCTTATTTTTTCATATTTTTCAATTTTTTTTAATGTTTTATTCCTTGAAACAAAAATAAAAATGAATTGAAAAGAGAAAAAAAAACTAAATTACAAGTAAATTTCAAAACACGAAGATTAAATAATTATTTTGTAAAACAAGAGAAACTAATTAATTTGTTTAACGAATATCGAGAGGGACTAACTTAAAATTTACTCACGTAGCATGATAAAACAGTAGATTCCACTCTTGAAAAGAATCCAACCCCAGAATTTTTCTCATTCGTGGTTCAAGTTTTCCATGATGCTATTAAAGAAACTTTGACTGTGAAGAAAAGAACAATTAAGCAAACTTTGACATTAATGGAAGGGACTTATTTTCCATTCCAAATTCCCAACATTCCTAAACAATGCCAATAATAATAATAATAATAATAATAAATAAAAATAAAAATAAAAGAAGACAAGCACAACTTCCAGAAGTGGGCAAAAGTTGGCCTACCTATTTTCACTAATTAATTAAAAAAAAATTCAAAATCATCAATCCCATATATGAAAATTATGCCTTATTAAGTTGACCTAGAAAATTTTATGGTTAGTCATGGGGTTGAGGGAAGTCTAAATTGGTACAGAGCAAGACTTGTCTTGGTCAAGATAAAGCAACATAAAAAATTTAATAAAATAATTAAAATTATCAAATAAAAATATGAAAAATACACATTGAAAATATAAGAAATTCTTTTACAATAAAAAAAGATAAAAAAAAATGTTGAATTTAAGGTATTCTTGCTTCAATCCAAACTTTACTCAACCCTAACCCAGGTTTGTTTCAGGGCGGAACCTGAAAAAAAAAAAAAAAAAAGGGAAGAAATATGATGTGGGGTCCATTGTTCAATTTTTTGAATAAAAATGGGTCCGTAGAAGAAAAAGAGTGCACAAACCCACTCGTTCTTCAATTGCGTTAAATTCAATGTTCTTGAACATTGCATGAAAATGGATAAGAATGATTTGCCTGAATTCTTATGCTGAAATCCACCAAGTTGTTACTAATTTTCTGAATATATATATATATATATATATATATATATATATACACATCAATTAGTTTCATTTGTAATATAATTAGTTTTGGTTTCTATACAAGTATAAAATAATTACTCCATATGTACGTAAATATAAAATATCGTATTTTTGTTTATTTTAAAGTTAATAATAAAAATATTTTCAAATCAAGTCGTATGTTTATCAAAACTAAATTCTTTAATTGATAATGTTAAGAGCATGCTTTTCAAATAATTTAGTTCATTCAAAGGAAATTCTCTAAAATAACGATTTCAAAAATTTTACTTATAAAGATAGAAAAGGAAGAAAAATCATAGGATCCATTATTTAAGTTAAAGGTCACAAGGTTTAATTATGATTAAAATTTAAAGTTCATGGCTCAACATATTCTTATATAATAAAATAATTCCGTAATATGTTCATATAATTCTAGTCAAGTTAATTTTATTTTTAAATATATGTTTAGGTTTTAATATATCATTCTTACTAGATTTTCAATCCAAATCATTAGAATTAATCACTTGATTTAAATATGATTATTTTTTATTTTTAAAATATTTTAACAAGTTAGAGAAATAAAAGATTTTTCTATGCTAATTATGTTACTCGATTTCGATGTTTAGTTTTAAATTTTTTTTTAGAATAATAAATTAGAAACTTAATATATATTAAAAATAATTTAATTTAATTATAAATATAGAGATAGATTAAAAAATTATTTTATTATACAAGACAAAAAAAGGAGTTATAAACCCTAAAATTTATCCATATCCGCCATGAAAAAAAGATTATGATGCCCATGAAGCGTAGCATCCACGCACTCCAAAAGTCGAGTAGTATAAAAACACTGAGACATAAGTTTTTTCTAGGTGACATGTACTTTAGACACGAGTTGATAGGATGACACTAAAGAATGAACAAGAACCGCTAAAAACGCTGGTTTTTGGATTAAAGAGCTCTCTCTCTCTATATATATATCACAAAGAATCAAAAAACCCAAACAACCACCCCATATGAAAAGCCAAATCAAAACACCCATTTCAATAAATAAAAATGGATAAACTATATTCTAATTCGTCTAGTTTTTGTAGTGTTCTCTTTGGTCCTTATATATTAAAAATTTACAAAAGCATCCAAAAATTCCTAATATGGCATTTTGTTGTTATCGATATATAGCCAATGACAAGTACTCTGATATCACCTTCTTCTTTTTTTATCGAGTATGTTTATACTTCTTCAAGATTTAATATATTTTTCATGCATAAAACTTAAGAGAAACAAATTGAAAAGTTAAAAAAAAAAGTTTTGAACATTATGCATCTCATAATTAGTTATTTAATAATATAGTGTTATGTTGAATTTTTTATTGAGTATGTTTGATATTTTAATTTTTGTTGTTATAAAAATAAAAACTAGCAATTTATGTTTAAAATTTTGAGAAAAGTAAAATAGTTTCAACCATTTTTAAAATTGATTTTATTTGTAATTGTTGTATTAACTTTAATTGTTAACATTGATTTCGTCAAATAAGAACTGACTCGACTATTTTAAAGATTAAAATAGCAATAAGGATTACACGTTGAAATTGAAAAATGACACTTGGGCTGATGATCTAAAAGGGACATGGATTGCTTGCAATATGATCCATGAATCGAAGAGTAAGGTAATTTAAGAAATAAGATAGAGTTTGTAGACTCAGATGTATTCGAAGTTAAAAATTGAGATAGTCAAACTTAGATTTTGATTTAATAAGTAATATAAATTTGATTGAAGTTAACAATTCTAATTATCCAATTGAGTTGAGTGGTATAGATACTAGGAAAATTTCGATAAATTTTGAGATAATGTTTCGACTAATTTAATTAGGAAAAAAGCAAGGTTATCGCTTTTCACAATTGTTACAACCAGTAGATCGATGATTAAATCAAAACAATAGATAAGACTCGAGCAAAGCTAATGAACATGAACTAGTAAGATGATTTATAAGCTGAATTGAAGTTAATTGAAATACAAATTAGACTTGGATTTAAATAACTCAAATGTAGAAACTTAAATAAATATTCTTAATTATCATCTCCTAAAAAGGAAAAAAATTATCATTTTGAAAAGTTATCATCTTTCAAGAAACGAAAAGAAAAAAATAAAAGTAACATCAAAACAACAACCTTTCCGAAGACGACGAAGTTGGTATTAACAAATTAACTTTTGAGTACTGAATTGAAATGTTACAAAAATGTAGGGACTAAATATTACTTTACCCATTAACAAAACTTGGAAAACAAAAGGCCGGAAAGAGAAAGAGATAAAAATTACACCCCTCGCTCCCTCTCTCGTACACACAATCCCACAAAATAAAACTCACAATTTGTGGATCAATCTAAACAACACCAATCCCTCTCTTCTTTTCTTTTCTTTGAATTTCAAAAAAACAAAAAGTGGTCTTTAGTATCATCTGACAAATACCAAATTTAATTATTATTACCACATCAAAATCAAATAAAAAGAAAGAAAAGATTTCTTTAAAGAAAAAACAAAATGAAAGAAATGAAAGAAGCAATTAGAGAGAGAAAAACAACAATAGTATCACTTGTTCAAACATTAAATCAAACCTTAAAACAACAACAACAATCTTCTTACCATTATTTTTTGTTACTACTGCTACTTTATCATCACTTTCAACAACACCAAAATCAACAATCTTTTTTATTATTACTAATATTTATTATTAATTGCGCTTTTATTCTCTCATCAAATCTAAATCTTACCCTCACATCAAAATCACAACACTCACCAAAAACAAAAACAGCATCACCACCATTGATTCTTCTCTCAGAGAGAGAGAAACTTTACCTAAAAATTCCTCCTTTAGAGAGAGAAAGTTTAAAGCTTTATCCATGAATCAATCTGTCAAGTTTGATGTTTTGAGGTTTGGTTAAGTTTTAATATGTGGGTTTGGATCTATTGATTGATTTATGAAGTGGGTTTGTTTTAGAAGTTGGTGGTTCTGTTAAAGTTGGAAGCTTTTTAGTGATCTCGGGTAAATGGAGGAAGCTAGTGGTGGTGTAGAGGTGGAGGAGAAGAAGAAGACACCAGGAGAAGGAGAAAGTAAGTCTAAGAGGAAAATGAAAACTGCTTCCCAGCTTGAGATTTTGGAGAAAACTTATGCAGGTTTGTTTGGTTCAAGTTCTGAACTTTTGCAATTTTTGTACATATTTTGTTGTAAATTTGTGATTTTTAACTATATTTTTTGGAAGCTGAAAAGTTCTGTTGTTTGTGAAATGTTGAGCTTTTCAATGGGGTTTGAGCAATTTGTTTCATAAGTGCTGTTTTTTTAGTCTAAATTTATGGTTTTCTTTTGTTCATTTGTGCAGGTTGGGTTCATTTTTTTAATTGTGATTTTGTACAAATTTGTTTTCTTTTACTATTTTTGGTGGTTTATTTTGATATTGGAAGCTCAAATGTAAAGCTTGTTTGTAAAAATGCCAAGCTTTGTACTTAATTTGTTTTATTATTTTTGCAGAATTTGTTTATATATAGTAGTAGTGTTTTGTTTTTACGCCTAATTTATGGTGTTTTTATTAATTTTGTTGTTGCTTTTTTGTAAATTTGTGGTTTTTTTCATTAGTGGATACATATCCATCAGAAGCAGTAAGGGCTGAGCTTTCAGTGCAATTAGGACTGTCTGATCGGCAGTTGCAGATGTGGTTCTGTCATAGGCGTTTGAAGGACAGGAAGGCACCTTCGGTGAAGCGACCTCATAAGGAATCACCATCACCAGCAGGGATGCCAGGTGGAGGGGGAATGGGAGTGGTGACTGAGGTGGGAAATGAACATGGATCAGGGTCCAGTCCATTTGGGCTAGCTGTGGATCCACGGCGAGCAGTTGGGAGGCCCACTGGGGTGGCAGTTCCAAGAATTAGTGCTGATGTGCAAGCAATGAAGAGGTATTATGAGCCACAGCAGTCTATTGCTGAGCTTAGAGTGATAGCATTTGTGGAAGCACAGTTGGGGGAGCCTCTGAGAGAGGATGGTCCAATTCTTGGGATGGAGTTTGACTCCTTGCCACCGGATGCATTTGGTGCCCCTATAGGTAATTTTGGTTTTGAGTTTGCATTCTGCGCTTTTTTATTTGATGATTACATGTTGAAATTTGCAGCCATGCAAAAATTTATGAAATCACTGAATGTGCTTTAATTGACAATATTGTATATTGTTTTACTTGCCTAATAGCGCTTTTGGTTTGCACATGATATGCGATTATTGAATTTGAGCCGACTAAATAACTCTAATCTAATTATGATTATTTGTGAGATATATTGGCTCTGAAGACGTAATAAATATAATAGAAGATATTAGAATCGATTGTAATTTGTGGAATATGAATTCATGAAATCTGAATTTTCTGCAAGTGTTAATTAGAGATGGTGGTGGAAGTGGTAGTATAATAAAATGTGGATTTTATTTTGAAATTAAAAAGGCCAATAGACAATTCCGCAAGGTACTGTGTGTTTTTTTTTGTTCTCTGGTTCTGTACATTTTTATACGCTACATGTCTGGAATTTTTTTTACTAGTGCCAGAAGTTTTGTTGCCGAAATGTACACAGATTTGTTCTATGAATTTTTTAATTATTGAGGATATGATGAGATCGGAATGCTTTAGTAAATCTAACATTGAAACCTTTGCTCAGACTATATTTTTCTTTACTTGTTACTTCATCTTCCCGCAGATTTTATTAGTCGAGGTCAATGATTTTCTCAGAAGACAATAGAGGAATTTCAGAGTTGGTACCTTTTCAGGGTGTGGTTTTGATTGGAGAAATAAAGGTTCAGTTAAAGGCATTTAACATGAAAAAAAAGAAGAAAAAAATATGTCTTTTGCAATCTGAAAATGAAATAATAAGAGAAAGGAAAGAAAAGAAAAGAAAAGAATGCACATGTATTTTGCGAGTTCAAAATGCAAGGCTCATAGCTCATGGGTTTAGAGAATAGCTTGATGATCCAAACTTCACTTTTATACATCTTTCTTTTACCTCTTCCTATATTTGGTCATCTGGGGAAGTGTGCCAGAGAAAACAGTTAGCAGGCTTCTTTTTGAGACAAGGTAGGTGGTTAAGATAACACGTCTTCCGGGCTTTATTTAGGACTGTTTGAGTTGTTTCCATGAAATGAGGCAAGACCTCTCAAAGAGTGACGTTGTACTGTCTGCAGAAGAATTTTTTCTGAGTTTATGCCATGCATGCTTGCGGTGACACGATTGCTAACATTGGTGGTTTGAATTTCCTTTAATTCGTAGTAAGAGATGTAATTTCTCTGAATTTAGGGATCATCTATCTAGAGGGAACTGAGGTATTAATGTGCATGGCCATGATACCCATATGAAAACAATTTCAGTAATGCAGGTCATGCCACTTTTTTGGGTGGTTGGGGGTAGGAGCCAGAATTGAACTTTGAAACCTTGTGCCCGACTCCAACATGCCCACCTTGTTGTTATCCAATAAGTGCATATTTTTTCTCGGTTTTGGTTTTACCTTTTAGAGGGGCTATGATTTGTTATGTTTTTCACTATGTATTGGTTAACTCTGGGGATTACTGACTCCTGAGCTATGTCACATGAACTCAACGTCATCATGATATGTTATGTATGTTATGGGTATGGAATCCGCGTTTGATTCATGACTGGAACTTTGGACATGGCTTTTTCTCCCAACCAGAATAGAATGAAGATTTGTTTTTTGCCCTTCCTTCCTTTTTTTTTTTTTTTTTTTTGGTTGTGAAGTATCTAGAGCATTGATCAAGTGTTCTAAACTCAAATCTCGGCCTGGATGAGGTACTGTTAGCTACCTTGAATAAGTGCATTGATTTTGTGGGATGTATAGTATCTGAAATGTTTATATGCGTGTTAAATGCACCTCTTTTGTGCATCCAATTTTGATTTGTTTTGTCTTATATCACATTGAACATTAATAATGCTACCTTTTAGCTCAAACTTGAAACTACCTGCTGTGTCTTTTGCTGCTTTATTTGCTGCTATTTTATAGCATTTCTGAGAATGTTAAAGTTTGAACATCTGATGAGCTTTTGATATGGTTCTAGGATCAGCGACAGCAGGGCAGCAGAAACAACCTTTAAGGATTTTTGAGGCCAACCTATACGAGCGACCTGATGTAAAACCCATCAAGGTGAAGATGCATTCTCGTTCCATCCTTTTGCTCACTGAAAATTAAAACTACTTCTCTCCATTATTGTCCTTCTCATGATGATGTCATTTTTTTTGTGAACTGTGGAATTTATATAGTCCCCTCAGTCCCATTAATTTTGATGGTGATATTTATCTGTTTGTGATGTCATCTTTTGTTAGCCATGAAATTTATACTGTTCCCTTCAACCCCAGGAATTTTGATGGGCAATTAATATGTTCATGTGTTTTATTCTGCAGGGTACTACAAGGACTCTGCATGAATACCAATTCCTTCCACAGCAGCCAACTGTTAGAGCAGAGGCATGTGAGAGAGCTGCCCCGTCATGCCAGTATGGCTCACCTGCCGATGGTCATAATGCGAAGACTGGATCACTATCTGCCGCCCGACCATTCATGCATGGAAACGAACAAGTGTCCTCTGTTTGTGGTTTGTCAAGTCAGGTGCCTAGCCTAAGTCTCATGCCTCAAGAGAGCAGGCAGGGCCATCTTTTGCCATGTACTACTGGAGAATATGACACTGTACCACAAAAAAGCCCCTTTAGAAGTGTTGGTGTGGATGCGCAATTCGGTGCTCACCCGATTATTGCATTGGACAATTCTTTTATGTCATCTGACAGGAGATTGACCCATGAGGAGGAGGCTTTGCGCATAGAGAGGAAACGCAAGGTATTAAGTGAAGCATTTCGGAAGTTTGGGACTGTAGACTGGTAAATTATTCACTTCATTGACATTTTGCAGAGTGAGGAGGCAAGAATAGCACGAGAAGTTGAAGCCCACGAAAAAAGGATCCGAAAAGAGCTTGAAAAACAAGATATTCTAAGGCGAAAGGTCCAAGTCTTACCATACATGACTTTCCTTCTTCAAATCTATAAGTTCATACTGATTGTGTAATGTAACTTGTATTGTACATTTAGAGAGAAGAGCAAATGAGGAAAGAAATGGAAAAGCATGACCGTGAAAGGCGGAAGGAAGAAGAAAGGTTGTTACGTGAAAAGCAGCGAGAGGCGGAGAGATATCAAAGGGAGCAAAGGCGTGAACTGGAACGCAGGGAAAAGTTCTTGCAGAAGGAGACTATCAGAGTAGGTTCAAATACCCTATTTAACAGTGTCCTGTTAGACTTTACCATTGAGGATAATTTGACACTTTTTTGTTCATTTATGCACTCAGGCTGAGAAAATGAGACAAAAAGAAGAATTGCGTAGAGAAAAGGAGGCAGCAAGGCAAAAAGCTGCTACTGAGAGGGCAATTGCACGCAGGATGGCTAAAGAGTCACTGGAGCTTGTTGATGATGAACGCTTGGAACTCATGGAGCTAGCTGCCTTCAGCAAGGGATTGCCTTCGATTAATCCTCTGGACTTTGAAACTTTGCAAAATCTAGATTTATTTCGAGGTTGGTAATGTCTGATTTAATCAAGCAAACAGTTGCTATACTCTTGCAAAATATTAATTAAGAGCCTTGGAAGATTTTACTGTTGCACAAAATTTTCTTATATATTTTACAAGGCACATGCTTTTGTCTCAATTTATTGTGGGTCAATTTTCATTCCACTTGTGGCTTAACATTTTATATTGCTTTTCAGATAAGCTAACTGAGTTCCCTCCCAAATCTGTGCTATTAAAGAGGCCTTTTCTTATTCAACCTTGGAATGATTCTGAGGAGAATGTAGGAAATCTTCTTATGGTGAGTTTCTGTAGTTCTTCCTATTTTTTGTTCTGCTCTGCTTGTCCTGGAAGGATGGGAGTAGTTGAGACTGGAATGCACCTTAAAATTCTTAAGTAGTAGATCTCAGATCTTCTCTGTGCACTTTTGTTGTATCCATGATCCTTTTGCATTCATGGAATGTGAGGCTGCTCTATAGAGAACTGAAGGAAATTAGAAACCTTATTTGTTTCTTTGAGGCATATTTTAATCTCATGTTATGCTTTTGTATCAGGTATTGATTATTTGCATGTCATTTGTATTTTGGCTCAAGTAGCCACAGAACTCATTTTCTTTCCCTGTGTTTTTTAGCTGCTTTATTGAGGACAAGTGTTACTTTCTCTTTCAGTGGTTCCCCATGTCATTGTATTTTGGTTCAAGTAGGCACAAAAATCATTTTGTTGCCACATTTTATTCTCTTTCTCGTGCATAGCTGTGAATCATTTATGGTAATGGGGTTTCTGCAGGCAGATGGTTGATGAGTTTCCAAGTAATTGTTTATAAAAACATCATTTGATCTAATAATGTATTAGTTAATAAATGTGCGGTGGGTGATGTTGATGAATAAAAAAATTGGAGATAGAATGAGTTTTCATTATATGTTATTTTCGATTTTTTCATTATGAATATGTTGTTTTATTTTGTCTCCTTCAACACAGAGCCCCTCTTGTCAACCTAAAATCTCCCCTCTTCTATTGATAGTTGAACCTTGATTGTATTGTTCTTGTGGGTGTTACTGTTACACTATCCTTTTTTTAAGCAAGAATATCCATGCCACTTTTTTCGATAAGTTCCACTACAGGTGTTTCTAGGTGTATTCTTTTTTCTTGGACATGGGTATATGGAAACCCTGGGGGAGTTGATTTCTTGGAAGGAAAATCTAGCATTCCACCAGATTTAGAATGCCAAATGCGTAGGCATATTTTTTTTTCTCTTTTTGTTTAAGTTTTTGAAGTTAACTGTAAATTTATAGGTTTGGAGGTTCTTAATTACATTTGCGGATGTTCTCGGGATATGGCCATTCACTCTGGATGAGTTTGTCCAAGCTTTTCATGATTATGTAAGTGTCTGTGGTATCTGATTTAGGGTTATCTTACATTTTGTGGAATTCAGATGTGTTTCCTGCTCCCTGTACTTTCAGGATCCGAGGCTATTGGGTGAAATACACGTTGCCCTGTTAAAATCCGTCATTAAAGATATTGAAGATGTTGCTAGGACACCTGCAACTGGGCTGGGGCCAAATCAGAACAGTGCAGCTAATCCTGGCGGTGGACATCCTCAGATTGTCGAAGGGGTAAATCTTCTTTGTTGTGTGCTGCAGTGACAATTTGATCTCCTCACTTATGTTCCTCGTTTCCATCCTAAATTATTTTTCGCTTCTATGTCAGGCGTATGCATGGGGTTTTGATATACGTAGCTGGCAGCGACACTTAAATCCATTAACTTGGCCTGAAATATTGCGGCAATTCGGTCTTTCTGCAGGGTTTGGACCTCAACTGAAGAAAAGGAATGTTGAACAGGCATATCACCGAGATGATAATGAGGTGGTTGCTCTTTCTTTGGGCTATCTTTGTTCATTGTAGTAACTGTTCTCCTATAGGTGCTCATTTTCCAGCTTTTGTTATTCATTGGCTTGGACTGTTTTCTGAGTTTGATTCTTGATTGATTCTAAATATGAGCATTTGTTGCAGTTTTGTACAAGTTTGATGGTTGGCTGATGTATATCAGTTTTGCTACTTTTTAGAATGCTGCTGTCCTTGTAGGTTGACTTATTTACTAAACAGCTTAGACTAAGGTTTACTTCTGCTTCAGTATTTCTTATATTGTGAAACAGGTTTTGCTTATTGTTTGTTTCATTGGTTCTTAAGCTTTCTATTTTTCAATATGGGGGCTGACACTTGGCCTTATTTTCCTTTCCTTTTTGTTTTAAATTCTCTACATTTTGTGGTTAGTTAGCTCAACTTCTGTTGTTTGACTTGTTGGTCAAACATATTTGCGTGACCATGGGAGATGCTGACATCTAGCATCCAATAGTTTGAGATGTGCTTTCATTTTTTATTAACCTGAGAATCGTCAGATAAATGTAAAAAAAATGCAGCATATGCTAAATGATGCTTGATGCTTTCATGGTGGCATAGTTGCTTATGTGTGACTTCCAGTTTTTAGCCAAGCTTTAGGAATTGCAATTTATCTACTTGAGAAGCTTGGGGGAAAACAATCTCATAGTGATTTGGATTGTTAAGTAGTTCTATATTCTGTTTTCCTGAAGTTGCATATTGTCAAAAAAAAAAAAAAAAAAAGACGACACATCTGATAATTCTGTGCAGTAAATTTCATTAAATAATGCCTCGAGATATAGATTGCATTTCAGGGAATATTCACTCTTCGTTCCTGTGGTCATTTTCTTTTCCTGTGGTTTTCCTTATAGTTTTTTTTTTTTTGTCCGGTTTTAAAATTCAGGGTAATGATGGTGAAGATGTAATTACTAATTTACGGAATGGAGCAGCTGTTGAAAATGCTGTTACCATAATGCAAGAAAGGGGATTTTCTAATCCCCGCAGATCTAGGCATCGCTTAACGCCTGGTACTGTTAAATTTGCAGCATTTCATGTTCTCTCTCTTGAGGGGGGCAAGGGTTTGACCATATTAGAAGTAGCAGACAAGATTCAGGTAAGTTTTTATTGCCAACTAATTGTATTTGTCTCTGCATTGCATAAACTTGCCATATCTATCCACTTTTCCTTTTTTATAATAATAATAATTTTTTTTTTGGGTAAGAAATCTGGGCTGAGGGATCTTACAACAAGCAAGACACCTGAAGCATCAATTGCTGCTGCTTTGTCAAGGGATTCTAAATTGTTTGAGAGAACGGCTCCATCAACATATTGTGTACGTCCTACGTATAGGAAGGACGTAGCTGATGCTGAGGCAATACTTTCTGCTGCCAGAGAAAGAATTCGGATATTTAAAAGTGGTATTGTAGATGGAGAAGATGCTGATGATGCTGAAAGAGATGAAGAATCTGAAAGCGACTTGGCAGAGGATCCCGAGATTGATGATTTAGGTACTGAATTAAATTCTAAGAAAGAGGCTCATGATTCTCCTGAAGCTAATGAATTTAATGGGAAAACACTCTTGGAGAATGGAAAGGAAAGTGGTGTTGTTCTAAAAACTCCACAAGTCAGCCTTGAGAACGTCAGTGCGGGTTTGACTTCCCTGCATTCTGAAGGCAATAATGATGTAAAGGGTCCTGCTTCTTCCATAGATCAATCCGTTGATGTTGCTGAAATCCGCACCACTCCTGAGCAAGATGTAGATATTGATGAAAGCAACCCTGGGGAGCCATGGGTTCAAGGACTTGTAGAAGGGGAATACTCTGATCTGAGTGTCGAGGAGCGTCTTAGTGCACTTGTTGCATTGATTGGTGTGGCAATTGAAGGAAATTCCATTCGCCTTGTTCTTGAGGTATAATTTCTTTTTGCTTCTGATGAAATCTTAAAAAATGCAATATGCTTGTGTCTGATCTCAGATGAGAATTGTTCAGGAACGCTTAGAAGCAGCAAATGCTCTAAAGAAGCAAATGTGGGCAGAAGCCCAACTCGATAAACGTCGCATGAAGGAAGAATTTGTCACGAGGACACAATATTCATCATTTATGGGGAACAAGATGGAACCTAACCTTGCAATTTCTGCAGCAGAGGGCAGACAAAGCCCAATGGTAAGTTTCGACGACAGAAGTAACGGGATGTCTCTGAATTCTTCTGTTCAGCAAGAACGATTAAGTGACCAGCAGAGTGACGTGCATTATACAAGTACTATGCCTTCTGAAGGAAGCATGCAAATTCAAGATTTATCTGCCGGTCCAGATAATCTGCCGTATCAGCAAGTAGGACATGCTGCTGAAAAGTCACGTTCACAGTTAAAATCTGTTATTGGTCACAGGGCAGAGGAGATGTATGTATATAGATCATTGCCCCTTGGTCAGGACCGCAGGCGAAACCGATACTGGCAGTTCACTACATCTTCCCGGAATGATCCTGGCTGTGGCAGGATCTTTGTTGAGTTACATGATGGTCGCTGGAGGCTTATTGATTCTGAAGAGGTAGCAATTTTACTCTTTGATTCATATGCTTCCCAAATCTCTATGTACAAGTCCTCTGAATTATTGTGTGCACACACATGCATGGTGTTGTTTTTACCATGTATGTGCTATATGAGTGATTGATACTTAAGATTGTATGTTAGTTATACTGTGTTCTTTGTGCTAGAATTTCTGGTGGTAAAAAGGTCAAGTAATGCAGAATCATGTTCTGCAGAGCTAATCGAACTTATATGTTCTCCGTTCGAGTCATTTTAGACTTTTTTTTTACCATGAAGCAATGGCAAGTGCCCTATATTTATATTTTTTAAACTGCCTACAAATGCATTTTTTTTAATTTTTCTTTTGTTTATTTTAATCATTTGTATGATATGCATGCAGGGTTTTGATGCTCTGCTGTCATCTTTGGATGTACGCGGGGTTAGGGAATCCCATTTGCATGCAATGCTGCAAAAGATTGAGGCGTCTTTCAAGGAAACTCTCAGGGGGAGAATGCAACATGCTAATGCCGAAGGGAAAAGTAAAGACCAAATCAAAATTGAAGTTGTTGAAACAGCTGCTGGCCCTGAATCTGGCATTGGCATGGATAGTCCGCGCAGCACTGTATGTGTTCCAGATTCTGACATGTCTGAGACCTCAACATCTTTCACAATTGAGCTTGGGAGGTATGAAATTGAAAAAAATCACTCCTTGAAGAGATTTCAAGATTTTGAGAAGTGGATGTGGAAAGAATGCTTCAAGTCTTCTTTGTTGTGTGCCACGAAGTATGGGAAGAAAAGATGCATGCAACTGCTTGGTGTTTGTGATTACTGCCATGACACTTACTTTTTGAAGACAACCATTGTCCTTCTTGCCACAAGACCCATGACGCCTCTCAGACTGGCTTGAATTTTTCTGAACATGTGGCTCATTGTGAAAGGAAGCTGAAGATGGACCCTGACAGTGGTTTCTGTAGCTCTTCTTTTCCGCTGAGGATCAGATTGCTTAAATTACTACTAGCATTGATTGAGGCAAGTGCCCTAAATGTTGTTGTTTGAATAATTAGTTATTTGCTCGTTGCTACCTATCAGTAGAATGATTAGAAGCGTGGCAAGTATGTTGCCCCTTTGCTGCTTTTTTCTTTAATTTTGTGCACTTTTTTGGTTGGCAGGTTTCGGTTCTGCCAGAAGCTCTCCAACCTGTTTGGACCAATGGCTACCGGAAATCTTGGGGTATGAAGCTGCAGTCCTCTTCCTCTGTTGAAGACCTACTTCAGGTTTATGTTTGGCCTTGTTTGAGTCATGAATTTTTGTGCTCTCTACCTGGATTACAAAGACATGAGCCTAGCATATTGGAACTACTGCTTAGCATCCTATGATGATGATTATGATTTCATGTTGAAATAAGTGCAACTGGCCAAAAGGCAGCTTCATTTTTTTCCTTCGTTCTTACTGAAAGTTTTGTTGGGTGTCAAAAGATGAGTGTGTAACAATGCATGGTGACACATTTAAAATCAATGATAGTGGTTGTCCATAAAAAATATCTACATCAAGAATAAATGTCTGCTGATAACCATATGCTCCTTGATTTTGAGTTCTAGAGTATTATTGATGGATCGGTTATTTAGCCATCTCACTACATCTTAGCGGGTACATGATTGGGTCTGTGAAATGCATCACGAATAGCATGAAAAGCAAACTATGTTATCTTTATAGGTGCAAGATTTTGAAATTGTTGCAGACTGTTATTGATAGATTCGTTGTACAGCCATCTTGAATACACCCTAGTGAGTACATAATTGGTTCCTCAATTGCATCGTGAATAGCATGAAAAAGTAAACCACATTATATGGACAGGTGCAAGAGTTTTAAATTTATTTCGTTCTTCTTCCAAGGATGGGAAAATATATTCATATCAATTGTTGGATAAGCTCATGTAACATCAAAATGAGGGTGAAATTTGAATATTGATTCATTATGTGGTCACATGTTGAGCGGAAGTTAATTGAAACCACTGTATTCATTGCATTTAGAGTATTTCCAATCTACTTCCGGTGAACATGTAATGTCATAGGACGACATTTACTTGGTGATGCTGTTTTACTTCTACCATTTTTGTCATTTTATGACAAAATCTTATGCTGAGAAATTGCAATTCCAACTTTTACTCTTTGCTTCTTTTCTCCTTTTCTATTCTCCTCGTTAAAATTAATTTGAAGAACTTATTAAGATACAAATGTACATTTCTCTTCCTCAGATTCTGACACTGTTGGAGGGTGGCTTGAAGAGGGATTATTTGTCCTCTAACTATGAAACCAGCAGTGAACTTTTAAGCTCGTCTGGCCCATCTGGATGCGCTGCTCAAGATTCTTTCAATGCAGAAACAGTTCCTGTTCTGCCATGGTTACCACAAACAACAGCTGCTGTAGCTCTAAGGGTCATTGAATTTGATGCTTCCATCTCATACATGCTCCATCAGAAACTGGAGTTACAGAAGGACAGGAGTGCTGGGAACTTTATTGTGAGTAGTCCTTCATATCAGAAGCTTTGTGCTGGATGATTTGAGATAAAAAAAAAAAAAAAAAACAAATTGCATATTCTATTGGTTTGTCATTTGAAAAGGTGGGTTGGAGTAGCTTTTTTAACTATAGGCTGGTCACTGGTGTCATTAAGTCATGCTTCCCATGAGTTGTCTCTTGGTCAGTAAATGTGCATCTTGAAGATGTAGAAACCAGAGATAAGTAAGAAGGTCTGAAGCTTTTAATTTCTCTTGAAGCAGCATAGTTAATTAGTTTCAGAAGTAAAATAGGGCACAAAAATGATGGACAGAGAAAATCAATTAATTATCCCATGTTGCGAAGCACTTAAAGAATGATGGTAATTATGCTGTTTCATTTTAGCCTATTGAGGGGTTTCAAAGAAGGAGCAACAGTTTATTATGCAACGAACTTTTATGCCTATGCTGACCCAGAACAAAAATCTCTCATTTGAAAATTCAAAGTTTACTAGGATTATATTCTTGACTTTTTTCTTGACTGTTTCTTAGAAGCTTCCATCCAAGCATGCTGTCATGAAGAACAACCCAGATCATGAAACCACTGGAACTCCACATCGGGCTGGGTTATTTCAAGAAGATAATTGGGTTGATGTGGGGATTGGGTTAGCTGGATTGGGCCGTGAACAAGGGATCCGGGGGAGAGGTCGAGGTCGCACTCGTGGTGGTAGATCACAGACAAGGATCATTAGTTCCAGATCAGAATCTAGCAAGAGAAGTGCTGCCAGAAGTAGTGACATTTTAGAGAAGGTATTGTCATGGAAAGGACGACCACGTGGCCGTGGAGGGCGTAAGCGCGGACGTCGCAGCGTTAGAAGTAGGCAAAAAGCAGTCAAGAAAGCGGCTGAGATCATTCCTGAGAGAAAGATCCTCAAAGAAACTATTTATGAACAGTCGACACGATGCTTGGGAAGGGATGACTGGAATGGTGATGAAACAAGGTTCCATGCCGAGGATGCTGAAAATGCCAGCAGCTCTGAAAGATCCGAGTATGATGATGAAAATGAAAATATTCCGGCATCAGGAGATGAATATGATGATCTAGTAGTTGATGACTATGCTGGTGGTTTTAATGGCAAGTCTGATGACTTACTGGAGGGAAGTGATTATAATATTGATGCCAACGAAGATGATGATGATGATGCCATGAATGAAGATGAAGATGAGCTAGGGGATTTGGATGTTGAGGAATACATCAATGGAGACTCTGATGAGGATGGAATCAGGAATGGAGATGGAGGGCTAAATGGGGACCCAGATGATGGCACTGAATCTTCGTCTTCAGATTTCAGTGACTAGAGAAATAGCCCTAAAAGTGTAAAATATTGCTGATGCATGAGAAATACTCCATTCCTTAACTTTGCATTCTTTAGTGAAATCTGCTGCACAACTCTAATTGAAGTTCATGTATTTACTGAGGAAGCAGTTACTGTGCATAGGTAAAAGCACCTTCATTGTACTGGAAATCAAAATATCAATGAATGTTACTTTGGTCAAATGACCATTGCAATGATCCAAAAGCTCTGTTTTTACGTTCTCTCGGTTTTTTAGCTATACGGTTTGTTTCTTATTGCATTCCTGCTTACAATTTCATGATTACATGCTGTTTTTAGAGTTGAATTCACTTGCTAGTGATGGTTCAGGATGAAATTTTTTACCTCAAATTTACCTTACATTTAGACCTTTGGCTACCAAAGAAAGGATGGATGCAACTCCAATAGAAGGAAACCAATTTTCATTGAAATCGGAATTAAGAAGTTGGCCAAACCCTACAATAACTGAAACTTTCAAACACTTAGGAGGATGTTTGTAAGGATTAACCTAAATGTCAGTCCCAGTTTTAGTTCTAAACCCTGGATGATTTTTGTAAGGATTGACCTAAATGTCAAGTGAGACATTTCGCGTGGCTAGCAGTAAACACCATCTGCAAAGAAGCAAATCTTTATACATATAAAAATGGCTATTATTTGGTAAATAACAGCAATGATTTTTATATAATGATAACAACTGTTATTGTCATTATGTGTTTGAAATGTCATTAAACTCTTTATAACGGTATTGAATATACTCGAATCTGTTAAATAACAACACAACATTATTTTTTACCAGATCACTGGTTCGTGTTGTGGAAAGAGTCATTTCGTAAAAAAGCAAGGGCAGCTTGCATACGATAGACGACCTTGCCTTAACTTTGCTTAGCATTGGTCTTGTGGTTTTAAACAGCGGACGATTAAAAAAACAATCGCAGTCATCATCACGACTTACTATAATACTAAAATAATAATAACGGAATCCTTTGAAACCGTTACCTAACGACCGTCATATAACATAAATGACTTATTTAAAACTATTTTTGGACACTGGGATGCCCTTTTAACCTCTCCTGTGCCATTGGGATTCATAGCAGATATAGACCATATAATGGGCCAGCTTCATCTCCTAGATTCCTATGTACTGACCATGTCTTTTTATTGTAGTAATCAACTCCCATTCACCATGTTTGCATAAAGTTGATGACATTCAATGTTCAGAACTTGAAAAGGAAAGAAGGATTCACCACCAAGAAACTTTAGCCAATTCTTATTATTGCAATCAAGAAGTTCAGTACACCCTTAGAATTCAACACCCTTGACATTGACTGTATCTGTCTCATAGAGATGGCATACTTTATTCTAAAACAGAAAGGCTGCTTCTACAATGCCTTTCCAGGAAAGGAAGGCATTGCCTTTTTTGGCTTTTCACAAAAATTCAGTGTGCTTTTTTGCAAAATTTTCACTGAATTCGGCAAAAGAAACTCCTTGTATTAAGCAATTCAGTAAATTGGTCACCGAATTCCATAGTATGGTTACTATCACATTTGGTGATTCATGTAATCACTTTCTGCGACTACACCACCAAATTCGGTAGCTAAATTACTCAATTATAAAATGCAGAGAGTGTTTTGCAGAATTCACTGGAAGTTTTGTAATAAAAAGAACACTGAATTATGCAAAAAAAGGATTGCAGAATTTGCCAAAACAGAAACTATCAAAAGCTGGCACCATAAATAACAAGTTATGTATCAAGAAAAGCCAATCCGAATACTACATTCTTGTTTTGTAATTCCTAAATCGCGTATACACAAAAAGCGCTCCATTTCTGTTGGGGAGCGTCACATTCTAACATTGATCTCAAGGTCCCATGAGAGTTTTGATTCCGGCCTTCTGCTCTGCAGTTAGCCTCGATGGAAACTTGATGCTGAACTTGATTCTCAAATTTCCTCTCTTTGTGGGGTCTTTTGGGATTGGCATCCCTTCCTTTGGAACAACCTCCTCATAGTTTGGGTGAATCACGGTGTTGATGGGAATGGTCAAATTCCTTCCATCTAAGGTTGTGAGATGGACAGTGTAACCTGTCAAGGCTTCAGCTAAAGAAATCTTCTGGGTAACGATCAAGTCGTTTCCATCACGACTGAACAGAGGGTGGGGTTTTTCATCAATAATGAAGACTAGATCTGCTGGTATAACATTTGCCTGTTCATTCCCTTTCTCAGGGAAGGTGATCTTTGTGCCTTTCTTCCAACCTGGCTTTATGTCAATGGTTAGAATCTCCTCCACTGGCATGAGCTTGCTGCAAAAGAATAGAAGTACAAGTTCAGTGAAGTGATCTAGCAACTAGAACTCTGCACCAAAAAAAAAAAAAAAAAAAAAATCTTTAAGCTTTTACTAGATTGTAAGATCATCTGCTAACTAATCCCACAGATCTCTGGCAACAGAAAAGGCAAATTTCATATCTAACAAGCATAAGCAGCAAGTGATACCCCAGAAAATAACATGCATTTGCTCCTTTAATCTACCCAGTAAATCACATTAGGCAGTTAGTTGTTGAAAATCAAATGGGAAGAACTTGATGCTGAATTTGACAAAAAAGCAGAAACCCCTAAGGGAAATTCAAACTAAAAGGAACCATATTCAGATACAAACCAAGAAGAAAGGTAATTAACATAAAAGGCAATTCTTAATACTCACCCACTTGCATCAGAAATCTCCCTAGATATCTTCATTCTCTTGCTAGCTCCCTTATAAAGCTCTTCAAGACTACAACGCAGTTTATTCTCAATCGGAGCGGCTTTTCTAGGAGCACTTTGATGCATTGACCCTCCACTTTCACCATAAGAATGAAATATATCATCACCAAACATCCCACCTGGGAACCTTGTCCCTCTCATGCCTCCACCACCACCTCCCATCCCACCAAAAGGACTTGAAAACCCAAAAAACTCAGCAAAAATGTCATCAGGACTTCGGGGATTGAACCGAAACGATGCAGGTCCATCTCCAGCAGAAAAGAATGAAGCTCCACCAGGACCAGCACCACCAGCACCAGGCGGTGGTACTTGGCCCTTTAAACCCTCTTCGCCATATTGGTCATACACTGCTCTTTTCTGTGGATCACTAAGAACCTGCATCAAAAAACATTAAATTTCAATAGAAAAACAATCAAACAATAAATCTTTACTGCTGATTTCGATTTTGACCAGTCTAGAACTGCAGTACAGAATTCCTTCTGCCATTAAGGACTGAGACTTTGGACTGATTATTTATAAGAAACAGTTAATTCCTCAAATTCCTCACAATAGCTCTAATAAACGCAACAAAACTACAAATCCCAGAAATTTAAGTATGAAAGCCCAGAAAAGATACAAACTTTTTTTTATCTAAACATGAACAAAATCAATCAAATTCCACATAAAATTATGAACCTTCAGCACTTCTGACTGGGTAGTCTACAGATCCAATACACAGAACCCAAGAGGTTTTATGATGATTAATGCAATTAAATATTGGAACTTTGAAGTTGTGACTTATACAGAGAATCCTCAAACCACAGGCTAAGGTGAGAACCCAATACAGAGAAAAAAAAAATTACAAAAATCCAATAAAAGACAATATTTTTTTCATTGTTCAATCTAAGCATGAACAAAAAATAACGAAAATCCACAAATTTCAGTACGGATATAAAATTTAACAAAAACCCAGATCACGAAATCTATAATGTAATACATACACACATCTAACAATATATAAAACAATCAAAGGCCACAAATTTCAGCAAGATCATCCAATTTTACGACAAACCCAGATCACAAAATCTGATCATGAACTAATTGGCATTAAGTTTAGGTAAATACATCATAGGCTTCAGAGATTTGCTTGAACTTAGCCTCAGCTTCTTTTTTGTTATTTGGGTTCTTATCAGGATGCCATTTCATGGCTAATTTCCTATAAGCTTTTTTCAAATCATCATCTTTTGCAGACTTATCAACTTGCAATATCTTGTAGTAATCCACTCCCATGGTGTTACTGCCACCACCTTCTTCTTCTCTCCTTCTCTTCTTCACTTTGCTTTTCTTGGTTTTCTACTTCGAAAAAATAAAGCGGTGCTTTGCTTGTTTGCTTGCTTTTTTCTGTTTTTTTTTGGGTGATGTGATGATGATGAAGGAGGTAGAGGAGTAATATTTGGGTGTTTGTGGTGTTTAAGACTTGTGTTGACGCTATACTTCGTACCTCGATTTTTTATGGTCCCTATATATTGATTTATTTCATATCAATACTTATAATTTTTAATCATTTTTATTTTGGTCCTTTTGTGCATGGTTGGGTCCAATGGTGTTTGAATCGGTTCGATTATCTTTTGGTGTTTCTTAATTACTTTGTAATTTAGGTTGGTCGATTCAAGGTGTGTTCTTTTTGATGTCAATAGCTTTTGTTTGAAAAGTCAGCGTTGAATTGAGATTTGGTATATTTTTGATGGATTTAAAAATAAAATAAATAATGGTAATTATTAGTGAAAATATTGGCTAGTCCTTGCATTATTTGTGATATGTTCAAAAATAAACTTTTTCTCCAATTTAATTTTATTATTTTTTATGTGATTCGATTTTTTTTCCGATTTGTTTTAATTTTTGTTCCATTGATCATGTCGTGTGATTTATTTTAATGTTTTTATAATGACATCAAATTTAAAATCATGGTTTTTCATTATTATTTTTCCTTTAATAGGTCTTAATTTCAATAGTTTCTCTCATCAGCTAAAGACTTCAATGGTCATATCATGTAATTTATTTTAATGTTTTTATTATGAAATTAGTTTCAAAAACATAGTTTTTTATTATTATTTTTCTTTAATCTAGTATTAATTTCAATAGATTCTTTCATCAGCTAAATGCAAAATCAAAAGAGGGACCATTTTAGTAATTAGTTTGGAGTAATTTAAATAAAAAAAGGACTGCATTAATAAACGTTTAAGAATATAGGGTAAAATATACAATTAACCCCAAGTTTCACGCACTGGTAGCACAGAACCAAAATTACAGTTTGAACCCCAAAATTTATAAGCTTTCAATAAGACCTTAAGCATACCAAAAAAATTTATTAAGAGAATAAAGATGGATAAACAACATTAATAATCCTAAAAAAGAAAGTTTTATAAAATAGGTAATATTGACATAAAATCCAATTTGGTTAGAAATCCTAGCATTGGAGATACACAAGAGTGCATTTTTATTCTTACTTGATGACAATATTAGCGCCTTGATTTTATTTTCTAATTTTTTTTTTTTGAATTGACAATAAAAAATATTTTCAGGCCTGCTTGCAATTTTAATTAAAATTAAGTTTTTTTTTCTTTTTCTAGACGATCTTAAAGGTTCATCCTTGTATTAGTATGGTGTTTCAGAAGTATTTTGTATGCTTTGATGTTTGATTATTATCATTTTTTATTTGAAGAAAGTGAAATATTTTTTTTTTATTTGGGGCTATTTGTCTTTTGTGAGAAAATTTAGAGCCTAGGGATGAGAAGCTTAGTTTTTTAAATGATAGACAAAACACACTCCTTTTTTTTATATATATATAATTAAGAATATTTTTAATTATAATTATTATATTATATCAAAATATTTTGTTTATGTATTTTTTGTAGAATTGTATTTGGACAATCTCCTACAAAATAGATTTTAATGAAGAATATTTTTTAAAAAATATACTATTTAAAATTTTGATTAAATAAATATAAATAATTTTTTTAAGATGGAGAAAATAGTTGTAACATAACTTTTGAGGGTTACATGATAAGGCTCCAAAGAGAGAGGACAGTCATAACTTTGGGCTTAAAATGTTAGCGGTAAATGTTGGCATTGTTAAAGGATAGCAACATTGCCGTCCTAATAGATGAGACTGTTATTTTTTATCTTTTATTTTTTCTGCATGCCAAGAATTACTTTTGTTTCTAATTATGACTATTGAAGTGCATGGACGGTTCGTGAGTAAATTATAATTTAGTCGTTTTAGTTTTAAGAAATGAATCAATTATTTTTTTTATTTCAAAAACTAATTATTTTTTTTTATTTTATGTTTTTTTTTAATATTTGTTTTCTTGTTTTAAAAATAGAAAAAGAAAAAAGAAATAGACGTTATAGAAAGATTGATGAGGTAAAAACTTTTTTTAGAATAAAATAAAGTTAAATTAAGTATGATTAATACCACTCAAAGGACTAAATAATTAGTTTTTAAAATAAAAATAACTAATTAATTAATTTATTGAAATTAAGGGGATTAATTTATAATTTACTCATTGTCCATTATTAAAAATTATAATTGCAAAACTTTAGTTATTAAATGACTTTGTTTCCCTCATTCATGGTAAACTCACCCTGGAGGCATAGTGATATTAATTCTCCCCACATTATAATCTAAAGAAAATTATTTTCTCATCTTAATTTGGGGTAAATTATAAATTAGTCCCTTTTTTTTAGAAATTAATTCATTAATCACTCTTGTTTTTAAAAACTAATCCCTTAAGTCTCCTTGTCTGTATTTCTACTTGTAAATTAGTCTTTTTTTCCTTTCTTTTTCAATTTATTTTGGCATTTTTGTTTTAAGAAATAAAAAAAATATGAAAAAAAGATATATTGTAGAATAAAAATAATATTAAATTAAAAAAGAAGTACTATAGAAACTTAAGGACAAATAAATGGACTGAATTATAAATTAGTCCCTCTTGCTTCGATAAAAGAAATAATTAGCCTCCTAGGTTTCAAAAACAAATTATTTAGTCGTTTTTGCTATTTTCAATTTATTTTTATTTTTTTTTCAGAAATAGAAAAAAATGAAAAAATTAATGAGAGAAGAGGATATTTTATAAAATAAAATAATATTAAACTTGTCGAGATATATACTGGTTAAAAAATTAAATAATTAGTTTTTAAAAATAGAGAGACTAATTAATTTATTTTAGGACTAATTTATAATGTACTCCAACTAAATGAGCAATTTTCATCTTCTAATTTCAGTTGCTAGATGAGTAACCTTACAGGGGTAAAGTACTGCTAATGCTTGAGAAATAGTCAATTCCCTAATTTGCATTTTATGTGAAATCTCTGATGCAGTACCCTGTTACTGAAGTTCATGTATTTACAGAGGAATTAGTAACCCTGAATGGTCAATTAATAGCACCTTCACCGTTGCAAAGATCGGTCGAAAAGCTCCACTTTTTTAATCTTTTTCGCAAAAACATCCCCTGCTTCAGCAACTGCGTTTATTTCCTGACAGACTTAATTCAGTAGTGATTGTTTAGGATGGGAATTTGGAATCCTGAAAGGTGTCATTTACAGGAAAGTGACTAATGTTTCAGGATCTGGCAAGAAAATTTTCGTCCAAGCTACTAGACCTTTCGCCGTCAAGGAAGGAAGAATTCAACACCAAGTTTTATTGAAACCATAATTAAGAAGTTGAACAAACCCTACATTGAACATGGCATTCTTCCTCTCTCTCTCTCTCTCTCTCTCTCTATATATATATATATATATATTCTCATAGGAGATGTCTCACATGCTGACAAGAGGATCTCAAGGACCAAAGATTGTTCTGATTCCTGCCTTCTGCTCTGCAGTTACCCTTGTTGGGAACCTGATGTCGAACTTGATTTTCAACATTCCTCTCTTTGTTGGATCGCCTAGGATCGGCATCCCTTCGTTTAGGACAACCTTCTGATAGTTCGGATGGATGACATCGTCAATCGAAATGGTTAACTTCCTTCCGTCTAAGGTTATAAGATGGACAGTGTAACCTGTAAAGGCTTCAGTTACAGAGATCCTTCGCGTGATGATCAAGTCATTGCCATCACGAGTGAACTCAGAGTGAGGTTTTTCATCAACAGTGAAGACAATATCAGCAGGAATTACATTCGGTCGCTTGTTCCCTTTCTCTGAAAATTTGATCTTCGTGCCTTTTCTCCAACCAGGCTTTGTGTCAATGGTTAGAATCTCCTCTGTTTTGTTGGTCAAGCTGCACTCCATCCCATAAAAAAGAAAGAGCACAAGAAACATCATTAACAAAGCCTTTTAATCTTTCAGTAGATTGTAAATGATCAAATAACCGTCTCTCACAAATCTTTGACAACTAGAAAGCACAATTAGCTAGCGAAATCCTCTATTTTTTGGTTCAAACCCTGAATAAGATGAAAGGAAATCCAGGACGTTGGAGGACGGCTGCCTCCCAACATCATGTAAAACAGAACCCATCACAAACAAGAAAAATAGAGAGTTAATAATAGATTAATTTGTCCTCCTTATATGAAATAATAATTTTTCAATCTCTTATTGTATTTCTAATTGATCCAATTTTTTTTTTTTAAAAATATATGTTAAATTTGTGGCAAAATTTTCAAGTAACATCATCGAAATTAGCCGCATGGTTTATATGAGCAAAATCTCTTCATTTGTCTAACTTGCAAGAGTATTTTGAGAATAAAAAATAATTATATACAAATCACATGACTAATTTGATAATTTGACCTCAAAATAACACCAAAAAATATAGATTATAAACTTAACGTATATTATTGATAAAACTGGCTCAACTAAGAATATTAAAAAACAGATTAGAGAACTACTTAATTATATAAAGACATATTAAGCAATTAACCAGGATAAAATTTGTTTAATTAGAAATATAAAAATATATTAAAGAATTATCTTACTATATAAGTACAGATTGAATCACCATACTTCTAGTATAACCAATAACACCCATTAGGCCATGCTACACGAAGAACATGTTTGATCAAAAGTTGAGACTGATAGTTGACCATAAAACAGGACCAAAAAGGTGAAGTTTTGGACACTTACCCTCTTGGATCAACCTCTTCTCTCGTTATTTTCACCCTCTTGGTAGCCCCTTGATAAAGCTCTTCAAGACTACAAGACAGGGTTTTCTTAATTGGATGGTCTTTTTCCGGAGAAAATAGATCCGATATCCATTCTTCTAAATCTATATCCGATATCAATTCTTCTAAATCTATAAATTGGCTATCAGGGAAGTCAGCATCACGGAAGTCACAGTCAGTTCCTCTGCTGCTACTCTGTCTAGCCATCACTGTTGATGGAAGTTTGATGAGAGGAAAGGGAAAGAGAGGTCTTCTAAGTCAGTGTAAACAGCTGCTCTACTTCAAGGAAAAGTGATTCTTCTACTTAGCTATAATACCTTTGAGTGGTGGAAGAATTGAAGGACAATGAATAAAGATATATTCCTGACCAAGTAGCTTAAATCTGAAGTTGGAGAGGTTTGATAGAAGTCTATGAAATTGTTTTTGTATGATGTCTCTTGTAGATTCTCAGTATTTGTGTTAATTTTTTTCTTAATTTTTATAGAACTAAAATGATAGTATTCAGATTACGTGCCGTTTGGTTATTAAAATTCTGATATTACGTCAATAAATTATCTGAATTTAAAACAAAAATAGTAAACGGTAGACGAAAAGCTCTAAAATGATTTTGTTACCAACTCTATGTATTATTAAGTTTGTGCATTACATAATGTTTGACAATGCATTTGACGTGTTTTTTAAAGTGTTTTCTCTCTTAAAAAATTAGTATTCCTTCGGCACCAAAGAGATTGTCCACTTTAATTTTTCACACGCTTTAAAATAATTATTAATTGTTATGTTATATCATCATTTTTTGTTTCCACTTTCTCAAAATACTCTTTTTGTTGAAATTATTAGTTATCAAATTTAGTCTTCCATTACTTAGAACTAATATTAATTTAAGGAGAAAATCCATCCAAAATTAAAATGGTATATCGAAGGAAAAACCATCAAATTAATTAATGATCAAATTTAAAATAATTATAAAAAATAATATATAAATGAAAATATTGTATTATTTGGCATTCAGTAAAGCTCTTATAAGAATCACTATTTTTCATATACCAAAAAATTTATCTTTAAAATTTTTATATTAAAAATATTTGTATCTATAAGGAAGAGAGTATAAAGAATATTGATTTTTTGTTATCGAAGAACAAGAAATAAAAAAAAATTGATTTTCTTTATAAAATAGAGCTATTTTTTAAAAAGTGCATTATTTTCTGATCAATCTTTTCATATTATCTATTTATTTTTCTTTTTTTAGCTTTTAAAAAACCCAATTTGGTTAGAAATCCTAGCATTGGAGACAACAATAGTGCATTACTTATTATTTTTTGTGCTTTTTTTAATCTTCAATAAAAAAGTATCTTCAGACCCGCTTGCGTCTTAACAAAAACCTTTTTTTTTTTTTTTCCAAACGATTTTAAAGGCTTATTCTCTACATTAATCTGATGCTTTAGAGGAATTTTGTGTGCTTTGATGCTTGATATATCTTCGTTTTTGTTAGGGGAAACGAGAAAGGATATTTATTGATTGGTGTCTATTTGTCTTTTGTGAGAGAATTTAGGGCCTGTGTATGACATGAGATCTTTCGAAGTAATGGACAAAAACATAAAAGTAAAGGAAATGTTGGAATTGTTAAAGGATAGCAACAATGCCATCCGAATAGATGAGACCGTAATTTCTTGCTCGTCTTCCTGCTTGCAAAGAGTTACTTTGGTTTCTAATTATGGCTGTTGAAGAGAGAATTAGTACCAGCTAACCTACAGATGTCCTTGCTGTTAAAGAGTTAAAGACCAAAAATTGTAAGGTTAAGAACTCCGTAACTGATCTGAACATTTGAAGTTCAGAAGAAGATGAAGTCATTGCGACGATCAATCTGTAGAAAGTTCCACTTTTCAGTCTTCTTCGTTAATCTTTTCGTCAAAAACATCCCCTGCCTTGAGCAACGAAGTTTATTTTCTGACACACCGAATTCAGTAGTGATTGTTCGGGATGGAAATCTGAAATACTGGAAGGTGTCATTTACAAGGAAGTGGCTCATGTTTCAGGATCTAGAACGAAGAATTCAATACCAAACAAGGGAAAGCAATTTTTTTTTAACAAGTTGCCCAAACCATACATTAAACATATAGAATACAGCAGAAAGTCTGAAACTATCAAGTACTACAACCATATATCACAAATTACAGCGAGCAGATACCAATCCAAAGGCTTCCTTCTCAAAGGAGATGTCTCACATGCTGACAGTGGGATCTCAAGGACCAAAGATTCTCCTGATTCCTGCCTTCTGCTCTGCAGTTACCCTTGTTGGGAACCTGATTTCGAACTTGATTTTCAAAATTCCTCTCTTTGTTGGATCGCCTAGGATCGGCATCCCTTCGTTTAGGACAACCTTCTGATAGTTGGGATGGATGACATCGTTGATCGTAATGGTTTATTTCCTTCCGTCTAAGGTTGTAAGATGGACAGTGTAACCTGTAAAGGCTTCAGTTACAGAGATCCTTCGCGTGATGATCAAGTCATTGCCGTCACGAGAGAACTCAGAGTGAGGTTTTTCATCAACAGTGAAGACAATATCAGCAGGAATTACATTCGGTCGCTTGTTCCCTTTCTCTGAGAAAGTGATCTTCGTGCCTTTTTTCCAACCAGGCTTTGTGTCAATGGTTAGAATCTCCTCTATTTTCTTGGTCAAGCTGCAATCCATCCCAGAAAAGAGAAAGAGCACAAGAAACATCATTAACAAAGCCTTCACATCTTTCAGTAGATTGTAAATGATCAAATAACTATCTCTCACACATCTTTGACATCAAGAAAGCACAATTAGCGAGCCAAATCCTTCCAAAACCCATTACAACAAAAAAAAAACCTAATATTTTCAGGATAACCAATAACACTCATTAGGCCATATTGCACATCAAAAATATAAGTGAACATGTTTGATCAAAACTATCGACTGATAGTTGACCATAAAACAGGGCCAAAAAGGTGAAGTTTTGGACACTTACCCTCTTAGATCAACCACTTCTCTAGTTATTTTCACCCTCTTGGTAGCCCCTTGATAAAGCTCTTCAAGACTACAAGGCAGGGTGTTCTTAATTGGAGGATCTTTAATTCCTTCTCCAAAAGAACTAAAGATATCATCACCATGTATGTTACTGGAGAACACTGTTCCTCTCCTGTATTGATTTGAGCCATTAAACCCGAAAACTTCGCTAAAGACATCCTCAGCTCCTCTGCTGCTACTCCGACTAGCCATCGGTACTGTTGCTGGAAGTTTGATGAGAGAATGGGAAAGAGAGGTCTTCGAAGCCAGTGTAACAGCCACTCTACTTTAAGGAAAAGTGAGTCTCCCTTAGACGGCCCCACTGGATACTGCTCCAAATACACTCATAATCCTCTCTAAGCCATTCATGGTTTTTTAGACTGAAAAAAAGAAAAGAAAAAAAGGATATTCACCTATCTAAATCCTAATTATTGATTGAGTTTCTAAGATTCATCAGATTCAATGCGAATTCAAATAGCGGCAATCGACTTCCGTAATCATCCTGGTCAATTGACTCTGATGAACTAAACAGAATATTCCGCAATTCATTTCTTTTTGAGGTAAGTTGTGAATGAAACATTTTTAGTTCCTACTTGATTAAAATGGTTATTAATTGTTAGTTATATCAGTATTTTTTGTTCTTACCTTCTTAAAACGCTCTTTTTGCTAAAATTCTTAGCCATCAAATTTAGTCCTCCATTATATAGAACTAATATTAATTTAAGGAAAAAATCTATCCAAAATTAAAATGATAAATCAAATAAAAAAATCATTAAATTAATTAATGGTTAAGTTTAAAATAATTATAAAAAAATAATATATTAATGAAAATATTGTATTATCAAAATTTTGACATTCAGTAAAGCTCTTGTAAGAACCAATATTAATTTAGGAGGAATTTTGTGTGCTTTGATGCTTGATATATCTTCATTTTTATTAGGGGAAACGAGAACGGATATTTACTGAATGGTGGCTATTTGTCTTTTGTGAGAGAATTTAGGGCCTGTGTATGAGATGAGATCTTTCGAAGTAATGGACAAAAACATAATCGTAATGTAACTTCTTGGCCTGAAATGTTAGCTGGAAATGTTGGAATTGTTATAGGATAGCAACAGCAACAATGTCGTCCGAATAGGTGAGACTGTAATTTCTTGCTTTCGTCTTCCTGCTTGCAAAGAATTACTTTGGTTTCTAATTATGGCTGTTGAAGAGGAATCAGGACCAGCTAACCTGGAGACGTCCTTGCTGCTGAGAGTTTGAGACCAAAAATTGTAACGTTAATAACTCCGTAACTGATTTGAACATTTGAAGTCTAGACGAAGAAGAAGTCATTGCGACGATCAATCGATAGAAAAGTCCCACTTTTTCAATCTTCTTTGTTAATCTTTTCGTAAAAAACATCCCCTGCCTTCAGCAACGAAGTTTATTCTCTGACAGACTGAATTCAGTAGCGATTGTACGGGATGGAAATCTGAAACACTGGAAGGTGTCATTTACAAGGAAGTGGCTCATGTTTCAGGATCTCGGAAGGAAATTTTCCTCCAAGTTACCCTTTTGCCATCAAGAAAGGAAGAATTCAACACCAAACAGGGGAAAGCAATTTTTTTTCAAACCAATAATTAACAAGTTGCTCAAACCATACATTAAACTTCATACACACACACATACACGCACACACAATGCCACTCGAAGTCTGAAACTATCAAGTACTACAACCATATATCACAAATTACAGCGAGCAGATACCAATCCAAAGGCTTCCTTCTCAAAGGAGATGTCTCACATGCTGACAGTGGGATCTCAAGGACCAAAGATTCTCCTGATTCCTGCCTTCTGCTCTGCAGTTACCCTTGTTGGGAACCTGATGTCGAACTTGATTTTCAAAATTCCTCTCTTTAATGGATCGCCTAGGATCGGCATCCCTTCGTTTACGACAACCTTCTGATAGTTCGGATGGATGACATCGTCAATCAGAATGGTTAACTTCCTTCCATCTAAGGTTGTAAGATGGACAGTGTAACCTGTAAAGGCTTCAGTTACAGAGATCCTTCGCGTGATGATCAAGTCATTGCCATCACGAGTGAACTCAGAGTGAGGTTTTTCATCAACAGTGAAGACAATATCAGCAGGAATTACATTCGGTCGCTTGTTCCCTTTCTCTGAGAAAGTGATCTTCGTGCCTTTTTTCCAACCAGGCTTTGTGTCAATGGTTAGAATCTCCTCTATTTTCTTGGTCAAGCTGCAATCCATCCCAGAAAAAAGAAAAGAGCACAAGAAACATCATTAACAGAGCCTTTAAATCTTTCAGTAGATTGTAAATGATCAAATAACTATCTCTCACACATCTTTGACATCAAGAAAGCACAATTAGCGAGCCAAATCCTTCCAAAACCCATTACAACAGAAAAAAAACTAATATTTTCAGGACAACCAATTACACTCATTAGGGCATATTGCAAATCAAAAACAAAATGAACATTTTGATCCAAAGTTGAGACTGATAGTTGACCATAAAACAGGACCAAAATGGTGAAGTTTTGGACACTTACCCTCTTAGATCAACCACTTCTCTAGTTATTTTCACCCTCTTGGTAGCCCCTTGATAAAGCTCTTCAAGACTACAAGGCAGGGTGTTCTTAATTGGAGGATCTTTTTCTTCCCCATAAGAACTAAAGATATCATCACCATGTATGTTACTGGAGAACACTGTTCCTCTCCTGTCTTGATTTGAGCCATTAAACCCGAAAAATTCGCTAAAGACATCCTCAGCTCCTCTGCTGCTGCTCCGACTAGCCATCGCTACTGTTGCTGGAAGTTTGATTGAGAAAGGGAAAGAGAGGTCTTCGAAGTCAGGGTAACAGCTTGCTCTACTTAAAGGAAAAGTGAGTCTCCTGCGTAGCTATCATGCTTTGAGTTGTGGAAAAATTGAAGGACAGTGATTGAGCTGTAAATAAAGACACCTTCCTAACCAAGTAGCTTCAACCTTAAGTTGTCGACTATACAGTCAACGCATTCTCATTATTTTGTCAAATTTTTTTAGTTAATTTATTAATAATTAAAAGATAATATTTAAATTCGTGAACGGTTGCTCCATAAAATTTTGATATCATATCAATCATCTTGACCTATAACTTAAAGTGGTATAATACGAGTTCTAAAATGAATTTTATACCAACTTTCTATATTATCAAATTATCAATGTATAAAGTTCGTATAAATTCGAAAAAAAAATGGAATTTCTAACATTTATTAAGCTTTGACTCTTCGAATTTTATAAAAAATAAATAAAAAAATAACAGTGAGCTGAAAATTGCAATTGAGAAGTTGGCCGATCCTACATTAAACATATGAAAATGTCATATGTATTATGTTCAAGGTTCAACAACTCAATTTGTTTTTATATATTAAGATAATTTTTAATTTTTTTATATTTATAAATGAATTGATTTTATTATTAAATATACACTAAATTTTTAATATATTAATTTGATAAGATTTTTAAAATAAATCATCGAAACTAATCATATAATTTACACATAAAACCTTATATTTATTTGGTTGGCAAGAGCATTTGAAAAAAAAATCATGTGTAAATCACATGATAAATTTTGATAATTTGACTAAAAAATTTTACCACAAAAATAGATTAAAAACTTAACCAATATTCTAAAATAAAATTGACTTAATAACTATATATAAAAAATTAAAAAACGGTAGAAGTACTCTATGAAATAGTTTTTGTACGAAATCTTTAGTAGATTCTCACTATTTGTGTTAAATGTTTCCTGTTATTTATTTAAAATACTAAAATGATAGTTGTTGAAATTGTGGTAGGAACAAAAAAAGCTTTGAAATGATTTTTATACCAACTCTATACATTATCAATGTTATACTAAGCTCGTACAAATTACTAAAAGTTATGTTTAATTTGTGTGGATTAGATATTTAAATTAATTAGTTTTTCTTATTATAAAAATTAATTATTTACTATTTTATTTTAAAAAAGGCATCATATTTTTACATTAATTTTTTCATAATGTCTTTTTTTTTTTTTAGTTTTTAAAACAAAAAAAAATTAAAAGAGAATATAAAATGATCATGTGTCTAATTTATTTTAGTGTTTTTATTATGATATTAGTTTTAAAAACCATGATTTTTTTTTCTTTGGTCTAGTTTTCATTTAAATAGATTCTTTCATCAGCTAAGTGCAAAATTGAAAGAGGGACTATAATAGTAATGGGTTCGGAGTAATTTAAACAAAAAGTTAAAAAGGGACTATATTAATAAAATTTTACTAATACAGGACGAAATATACAATTAACCACAAGTTTCCCTTTGGCGTTATTTTAAGCAACACGTACTCCTAGCACAGAACCAAAACTACAGTTTCAACCCCAGAATTTATAAGTTTGCAACAAGACCTAAACCCTACCAATATATATATATCAAGGGTTGATTGTATATTAACATCCTTAGATAATCCATGGATCCATGTATGAAATTTGAGTTTCAATTACAAAAAATAAAGCTATTTTAGATATTATACACAAAATGGATAAACAACTTTAATAATCCTACTCTTATATATAAAAGAAAAAAAGTTTTATAAAAATAGATAATATTAACATAAAACCGAATTTGGTTAGAAATCCTAGAATTGGAGACAACAAGAGTGTTTTTATTATTATTTCGTGTGCTTTTTTTTCATTTTTTTTTTTAGATCGATAGTGTTAAAAAGTATTTTTAAGTCGGTTTGCGCTTGAACTAAAATTACATCATTTTTGTCAGACTAATTGGGGCTATTTGTCATTTGTGAGAAAATTTAGGGCCTGTTTATCAGATGCTTGCTTTTGAAGTAATAGACAAAAACAAAATCGTAATGTAATTTCTTGGTTTACAATGTTAGCCGGAAATGTTGGAATTCTTAAAGGATAGCATCAATTCTGTTTGAAAATTAAAGAGTTTATAGTCTAATAATAGTGATTTTTTTAAAAAAAAAATCATAAGTTTAAATTCTAATCGATTAATTTTACTTAGAGTTTTGAGTGTCTGTTAAAAAAAAAAAAAAATACCATCCGACTAGATGAGACTGTAATTTTTTTTGTTTTTGTCTTCCGGCTTGCAAAGACTTTGGTTTCTAATTATGACTGTTGAAGTGTATCCATTGTTAGTCAATTTTCCATTATTAATAGTTTGGGTTAATGACATAATGGATCCTTATATAATAAGATAATCATCTAATTTATCTTTATATCTTAATGGGATAAATGTATTATAAGTACACTAATATTTAACTTTTTTCAATCGAATGCATAAGTTTTAATTTTTTTCGTTTTTTCAAAATTATTAATTAAGTATTTCTATCAATTTTTTTTATCAAACAATAAGATGTCTATTATCTTTGTAATACCAAATTACAATGTTACTCTCTTTTTTTTTCCCTAATCAATTACATAGATTTTAATTTTTGTTTTGTTTGAGTGTATAAATTTTTTCAAAACTCGTCAATCAAATACTTTTATCAATTTTTCTATTAATTGATGAATTATTCGTTACCCTCAAAATATCAAATTACAAATTTACTTCTTCTTTTTTTCCCCCTTAATAGAGGAAACTTGCCTCCCAACTTATTTTATTATTTTAAAATTTGATAAAAAATAAAAAAATATATATTTTTCAATTATAAAACTCCAAACTAAATTAAATTTAATTAGATGTAAAAATTGAAAGAAAATACAATCATGAGATTTTTCATCAGAAAGATTCTTACTTGTGAGCATCTGGGAGGAAATTTTCCTCCAACCTAAACAGTTTGCCATCAAGAAAGGAAGAATTCAACACCAAACAAGGGAAAGCAATTTTTTTCAACCCATAATTCAGAAGTTGCCCAAACCCTACATTAAACATGTCAAGTATATATATATATATACAACTGAAAGTCTGAAACTATCAAGTACTACTACCTTATATCACAAATTACAGCAAGCAGATACCAATCCAAAGGCTTCCTTCTCAGAGGAGAAGAGTGTCATGCTGACACTGAGATCTCAAGGACCAAAAATTCTCCTAATTCCTGCCTTCTGCTCTGCATTTACCCTTCTTGGGAACCTGATGTCGAACTTGATTTTCAAAACTCCTTTCTTTGTTAGATCGCCTTGGATTGGCATCCCTTCGTTTGGGACAACCTTCTGATAGTTCGGATGGATGACATTGTTGATCGGAATGGTCAAATTCCTTCCATCTAAGGTTGTGAGATGGACAGTGTAACCTGTCAAGGCTTCAGCTAAAGAAATCTTCTGTGTGACGATCAAGTCGTTTCCATCACGAGTGAATACAGGGTGAGGTTTTTCATCAACGATGAAGATTAGATCGGCTGCTACAACATTCGGCTGCTCGTTCCCTTTCTCAGGGAAGGTGAACTTTGTGCCTTTTTTCCAACCAGGCTTTGTGTCAATGGTTAGAATCTCCTCTATTTCCTGGGCCAAGCTGCACACCATTCCACAAAAATGAAAGAGTGCAAGAAACATCACAAACAAAATGCATAAAAATGGGCACACGCCCATATAGAAGAATGAATCATAAGGTCGCCTTTTTTTTGTGTATTAATTGTACTATTTTCTTATTTGAATAATTTGTTTTGATATAAATATATGCTGATGATTAAAATTAGATTTAAAAATTTATAAGAGTACCTTTTTTTCTTCTAGGTTTATTTTTTTATTATCTTCTTTTCTCTCTAAATATTTTTCGTTTGCAATTTGATTTTCTCTCTAATTTTTTTTTATTTTTTTTTTACTCATACCAAAGACTCTTAACATAACTAATTTGTTAGGATTTAAATTCATTATCTTTTGTTACAAAAGATCGCTTTCATTAAACTACAAGCTATTTGATAATTTGATTCCCTCTCGTTATATTGTGTCATTTAATTGAGTAAATTGTAAATTAGTCCATTTGTTTTTTAGAAACGAATTAATCCTTTTATTTTAAAAACTATTTATTTAATTTTTTTTATAGTATGATCGTATTCAATTTTATATTATTTTATTTTATAAAATGTGTTTTTTTCTTTTCATTTTTTTTTAAAAATCAAATCAAATCATAAAAATTAAATTATTAAAAATATATATATATATATATAATAATATAATAATTAATTTAAAAAAACTAATTAATTCGTTTTTCGAAACTAAATAGATTAATTTATAATTTACTCCATTTAATTCTTTCTCAATCTCTTTATTTTTTTCTTAAAAAAAAAAAAAAGATTTTAAACCTTTCAGTAGTTTACAATTAGCAAGCCAAATCTTCTACCTTTTCTGTTCAAACCCCAACAAGATGAATGAGGATTTCTATTTTTTTTCTGTTCAAACCCCAACAACATGAATGTTTGATCAAAAGTTTGAGACTGATAGTTGACCATAACACAGGACCAAAAAGATTATGGTTAGGACACTTACCCTCTTGGACCAATCACATGTCTGGTTATTTTCATCCTCTTGGTAGCCCCTTGATAGAGCTCTTCAAGACTACAAGACAGGGTGGCCTTAATCGGAGAAGCTTTAATTCGTTCCCCGAAAGAACTAAAGATATCACCACCTTGTATGTTCCTGGGGAACACTGCTCCTCTCCTGTCTCGATTTTGGCCAAAAAAATCACCAAAAATATTACCAAAAATATCATCAGCTCCTCTGCTGCTTCTCCGTCTAGCCATCACTGTTGCCGGAAGTTTGATGTGAGAAAGGGAAAGAGTGAAAGAGAGGTCTTTTAAGTCAGTGCAAATAGCTGCTCGATCTACTTAAAGGAAAATGGTCTCTCCTACGCGGGCTGTCATGCTTTGATTGGTGGAAAAATTGAAGGGCAATGATTAACCTATAAATCAAGACCTTGACCATTAAGTTGTTGACTCTACACTACATTCTTTCAATTTGTGTTAATGTTTTCTTAATTAATTAATTTATTTACAAAATAATATTCGAATTAGTAATTGTTGCATGATCGTAGAAATTTTGACACGGACTACATCTGAATTTTAACTCTCTTGAGATTAAATTTTTAGAATTTAAAATTAGTTTTAGTAATCATATAATCTCTGAATTTTAATTTTTTTAAAAATCTAGTCTATCTATTAGTTTTTTGTAAAAAAAAATAATAATAATAAATAACGAAAAATCTAGAAGAAAAAAAACCTAAATTTAAAATCCTTCGCATTCACTCCCTCTCTTTCTCTCCCTCAATTCCAATTTTGAATATGAGAAATTCTAATTCTAGATTTTTTTCTGAGTTTTTCGTTTTTTTCTTTTTTGTTTTTTTTACAGAAATCTAATGGATGAACTAAATTTTTTTTAAAAAATTAAAATTTACCAACTCAACTTCAGATGAAAATTCAGAAGTGATTAGATGCATTTAGCCTTTTGATAGCACATCAAATAATTATTTCAACCTAAAATTTAAGAGTTATGTAACGATTTTTACACCAACTCTCTATATTATAAATGTATGAAGCTCGTCCAAATTCGACGAAGAGAAATGGTGCTTTTATAATAAAATAAAAATAGCTATAACTATTTGAATTTAAAAAAAAAAAAAAGTGATAGTGAACTGAAAATTGCAATTGAGAAGTTGCTTATAAAAAAAGGGTTAACAAATCAATATGTATTTATATATTAAGATAACTCTTTAATTTATTTTTATATCTATAATTGAATTAATTTTATTATTGAAAATATGCTAAATTTTTAATACATTATTCTAATAAGATTTTTAAAATAAATCATCAAAACTAATCACGTTATTTATACATAAAAAGCCTTATATTTATTTGGCTTGCAAGAGCATTTAATCAAAAAAGAAACAAGAGTGCCCTCTCGAGTATTTTTTTTTTCCTCTTTAAACAACAATATAGCAACCTTTTATTGTAGCAAAAACAAATATATTCAGATCCATCGTTACCTTACATGACAGAAACATGCATGTCTGGATCCGTTGTGTAAGGTCGTGTTACTTCCGACTGCAAGAAACAAGAGTGCGTTATGGGAACATTAGGCAACAAATGCCAACAAAAGCACATACATGCTTAATCTCAAGAAAGGTAAAATGTAAAACCTCCTTCACCTTTTACATTCCCATCCACTGACCATGCATGTCTAGTTGCAGGAACCACTCCTGTTCGCTATCTTTGCATAAAGTCGATGGCATTCACTTTACAGAACTAAACAGGAAAAGAAGGATTCACCACAAATCAACAATGGCCAATTTTATTGAAACCGTAATGGAGAAACTCTACAGTATCCTTTCAACAGAAACTATCAAAAACTGGTAAAATATATATGTAAGTTGTGTACTCAGAAGAATACAATCCAAATACTACATTCTTTCTAATTTGCATTCACAAAACTGCTCCATTTCTCCGGAGATGCAGTGTGTGTTGCATATCGGCATTGATGATCTCAGCCCAAGAGTTTTTTGATTCCTGCCTTCTGCTCTGCAGTTAATCTTGTTGGAAACTTGATATTGAACTTGATTCTCAAATTTCCTCTCCTTGTTGGGTCTTTTTGGATTGGCATCCCTTCCCTCGGGACAACCTCCTCATAGTTCGGATGAATCACGGTGTTGATTGGAACGGTCAAATTCCTTCCATCCAAGGTTGTGAGATGGACAGTGTAACCTGTCAAGGCTTCAGCTAAAGAAATCTTCTGTGTGACGATCAAGTCGTTTCCATCACGAGTGAATACAGGGTGAGGTTTTTCATCAACAATGAAGATTAGATCGGCTGCTACAACATTCGGCTGCTCGTTACCTTTCTCAGGGAAGGTGATTTTTGTGCCTTTCTTCCAACCCGGCTTTATGTCAATGGTTAGAATCTCCTCCACTTGCATGGTCTTGCTGCACAAGAAGGAAAGTGCAAGTTTAGCGCAATGATCAAGCAACGAATGCTCTTTACAAAAACAACATCATCAAAAAACCTCCAAGGCTTTTACTAGATTGTGAATTGATCTGGTAACTAATCCTGTGAGTCACTGGGATAAAAGCAGATTTTTTATGGAATGAGCATGAGAGGCAAGTACAATCCTAGAAAACAACATGCATTTATTCTTTGATCCAGCCAGTAACTCCCATTAGACCATTAGATGTGGAATATCACAAGGGAAAAACTTGATGCTCAATTTGATAGGCAGAAGCCCCTTACACAAATTCACACAAACTGAAAAGAACCAAACTTCAGAAACAAACATAGAGTAAGACAAGTACAAAGAAGATAATACTTACCCACTTGCATCAACAATGTCCCTAGATATCTTCATTCTTTTGGTAGCCCCCTTATAAAGCTCCTCAAGACTACAAGGCAGCCTTTTCTCAATTGGGGAAGCTTTTCTAGGAGCACTTTGATGCATAGATCCTCCACCTCCTTCACCAAAAGAATTAAACATATCGTCACCAAACATCCCACTTGAGAATCTTGTTCCTCTCATGCCTCGACCACCACCTCCCATCCCTCCAAACGGACTTGAAACCCCGAAAAATTCAGCAAAAATATCATCAGGATTCCGGGTATTGAACCGAAATGTTGTAGGCCCATCCCCTGTAGAGAAAAATGAAGCTCCACCGGGAGCAGTACCACCAGCACCAGGTGGTGGTACTTGCCCTTTTAGACCCTCTTCACCATATTGGTCATACACAGCTCTTTTCTGTGGATCACTAAGAACCTGCATCAAAAACATTAAATTTCAATACGAATCAATCAAAAAATTAACCTCAACTTTCAAATCCAATTTTACAGAGAATTCCTCATGCCATTAAAGAATGAAACACCCAAAGTTTCTATGTCGATAAATACCATCAAAGGTTGAAACTTTGGTGTTACTGACTTATAAAAACCATAAAATTCCTCATGATATCAGTAAAAACACAATAAACCACAAATCCCAGAAATCCAACCATGAAATCCCAATAAAGATAGAAACTTCATATAACATGAACAAAACCCATCAAATTCACAAGTTTCCAAATAACAAACAGAGAATTCATCATAATAACATCAAACAAACACAATAAACTACAAATCCCAGAAATTTAAACATGAAACCTCGCAATAAATCAAAGTTCACAAATTTAAGCAAGATCATCCAATTTTACAGCAAACCTAGATAGCAAAACGGTTAAAGGCAGGCACATACATCATAGGCTTCAGAAATTTGCTTGAACTTAGCTTCAGCTTCTTTTTTGTTATTTGGGTTCTTATCAGGATGCCACTTCATGGCTAATTTCCTATAAGCTTTCTTCAAATCATCATCTTTTGCAGACTTATCAACTTGTAATATCTTGTAGTAATCCACTCCCATGGTGTTGTTGCTACCTCCTTGTTTTTCTTCTCTCTTTCTCTTCTTCACGATGCTTAGCTTTGTTCTTCTACTTCAAAGAAACAACAAAAAATCTTGCTTTTGTTTTGTGGTTTTTGGGTGAGATTGAGGAGGTGGAGGTGGCGTTGGTGTAATATTATGAGGGGCTAGTGGAGTTTAGGAGTTTCTAGTTTTGATAGTTTGGGAAACCTGTAGAATGTTCCAGAAATAACCACACCGTTCTTTTTGAAACTTCTTCTGGTTTTACCAAAGCTTACTATAGTCCTTAATCTTATAGAAAATATATATTTAGTCCTTATATTTTTAAATATAATTATAAATTAATTTTTTTGGTTTTTTTCACTTATTTTTTTAAGAAATAAAAAAATAAGGTGCAAAATTGATGACAAGAGATATTTTTGAAACAAAATACTGTTAAATTATTAAATTAAGTATGGCTAACATTAGCCAACATATTATTTAATTATTTTACTATAAGAATTACTTAATTTGTTTTTGTGAATGACAGGAACTAAATTATAAATTTGTTCTCTAATTTTGATAAATAAATTAAATAATCTCTCTTTTTCAAACATTAGTTAATTAGTTTTTTAACTAATATTGATTATGATTAATTTAATATTATTTTACTCTTATTAATTTTTTATCAATATTTTTTGTATTTTTTTACTTTTTTATTTTATCTATTTATTAAAAAAAATGAGAAAGAGTAATTTACAAATAGATTTAAAATATAGGGATTAATTAATGAGTTATCAAAACTAAAAGGACTATTCAATTCTTTTTGAAAATGTAAAGGGACTGATTTATAACTTACCAAGTCATGAAATTCAGCATAGTATTTTTTTTTTTTTTTAAGAAAAAAATTCTGAAATCGATGCTGATAAACAGGCGTTTGGTATCCCAAATTGCCAAGCTATTAGTGCAACTACAAGTCGTTGCCCATTTTCTTTCAACTGTATATTTATGTGTGAGCACAAGTGGATTCTGTAGTAGTTTATTTCCTATTATGATTGTGTGATTCTGGATTCTATTTTTTTTTTTTCTTTGAGAGGATTAATATTGATATCTATCCCTTTTCTTTAAAAGGAATTGATATTTATTTGCGGTGTTTAAAGACTCAAATCTTCCATCAATGAGATCTCGTAATACTATTCATTTCCTAATTGATCTAAAATTAATCTACTTGTGTGATTTTGCAAAAAAAAAAAAAAAAAGGTCTTGTTTTAGAAAACTCTAATTTAAAATTTTCAAATATTTTTATGTTTTATCCATAAAAAAAATCAGATATTACTTGAAATACAATGATTCACAAAATTATAAAAGTTTTTATCATCTCTTTTTTCTTATAACAAATGTTGAAAATGTAATTTATTTGGAATCAATTTGATATTAATAGAATTGCTCTCTTTATAAAAAAAAAAAAAAAAAGTACAAAGTCCTCCAAGTTATAATTTTAAAAAGAAAAAATTGAATTAGCAAGTTGTTAGTTCGGTGGCAACCGAATTGGTTTTCAAGTGAATTTCTTACCTATATATAGGATTAAAATCCTAAAATCCAATTTGTTGAAATAGATTACTCTTTATCTCTTTTGTTTCAAACAAGATTAATCATATCTTCGATGATGGTCAACATCTTAATTAGTGCGGGCATTTTAGAAGTGCTTGATCGGAAAATTTTCCTATTTTGCCGAAACAGAAAGTGGTTGCTACTAACCTCAAATACATCTAATTTTTGTATTCATCTCGGTTTAGACAAGGTGTTTCGAAGATTCTAAAGAACTAAGAAACTAATATTCTTTCCACGTTGAAGAATATATACCACATCCATTTTGAAATTGATCGATGACCATTAAAGAGTTCCGTTAGTTCGCAGTTACATTTTCTAAAGTTCCTTTGTCAAAATCCAACACAATTTAGCTCAAAAAAAGATTTATGGAAGCTGAAATTACAAATAAGTAAAATTCATTCTAAATTAAAACTAGTCCATCCCATACCATCCCTTCCTATGAGAAATTTTATAACATATAAGAAGTAACTAATAGTATGCACAATAGTTACTCTTTGTGTATTATAAAATTTCTCTTTACCTCATTTTATTCTCCACCACTATAATAAAGGATTTTTCTTTCCATATATGAATTCCAATCATGGAAAATAATATAATTAACTCTTAATATGCTTATAGATAGGATTGTTAATAAATCTGATCTAATCTAAATTCTATGTAATTGAATTGATTTGATATACAATTTGCATGATCCGAAGTCGTTAAACTCGTTTATTAAATAGAACAAATACAAAGCTACATCGATTTGGTTTGATAATAATCAAATCTAAAATTAATATTAATATTATTTCTAATAAATATAATATTTTTAAAACTTACACAAATCAATTTTTTTAGAGCCGATTTGATTCGTTTATTAAACTAATCAAATTCAAATACAACGATTTGGTCCTTTAGCACTTTGACGAGTCTTATGCAACGATGGATTATTCATGTCCATCCAATCATAGTTTTAAATAACGATCATCGTGTTATATAAAGACTCGTTATGTAACGATTTCGGAGCATCCGTTATATTGAATTTATCCAATCATAAAAAAATCGGATATTATCCGAAATACAACAATTCACAAAATTACAAGGTGTTGTTTGGTAATCAAGGATGGAGTGATGAGAATGAGAATGCGGGAATCGGAATGAAAATTAAGGAATCGGAATGGTATTTGCATTTTCATACGAGTGTTTGAAATATTAATGAGGAATCGAATGTAATTTAAATTTTTTAGTATCTAATTTTTTATATAAATAAAAATAATGATTAAAAAATTAATTTTATTAAACTATAATGGCTGTAAAATAATAAAGGTGTTGATGGTGATTATGGTTATGACGAGTGGTTTGTGATGGTGGTGGTGATGATGTCGATAGTGATTGCGATAATGGTGGTCGTAGTGTTAATGGTAGTGGTTGTGGTGGTACCGATGGTGATGGCAATGATGGTGGTGGTAGTGGTTGTGATAAAAATAGTTAATAGATAATAAATAAAAAAATATAATATTATTTTGAAAAAAATATTCATTCCCATTTCTTTTTTTATTCCCACATCGTATACGGGAATGAAGTTGTATGTAAATTTTTATTCTCATTTCTACTCTTAATTTCTATTCCCATTAGTCTATTCCCGATTACCAAACAATACTTAAAAGTTTTTGTTATCTTTTTTTTTCTTATAACAAATGTTAAAAATGTAATTTATTTTGAATCAATTTGATATTAACAAAATTACTCTCTTTATTATATATATATATATATATATATATATATATATATATAAAGGTACAAAGTCCTCCAAGTTATAATTTGAAAAAAAAAAATTGAATCATCAAGTTATTAGTCCAAGTGGCAACCGAGTTGGTTTTAAAGTGAATTTCCTACCTATATATAGAGTTGAAATCCTAGAATCGCATTTGTTGAAAGGGATTAGACTCTATCTCTCTCGTTTCAAGCAAGATTAATCATATCTTTGATGATGTTCAACATCTTAATTACCGCATGCATTTTAGAAGTGCTTGATCGGAAAATTTTCGTATTTTGTTGAAACGGAATGTGGTCGCTGGTAACCTCAAATACACTCGATTTTTGTATGCATCTTAGTTTACACAAGGTGTTTTAAAGATTCTAAAGAACTAAGAAACTGATATTCTTTCCACGTTGAAGAATATATACCACAACCATTTTGAAATTGATTGAGGACCATTGAAGAGTTCTATTAGTTCGTAGTTACATTTTTTGAAATTTCTTTGTCAAAATCCAACAAAATTTAGCTCGAAGAAAAATTCATGGAAGCCGAGATTACAAATCAATAAAATTTGTTCCAAATCAAAACTATTCCACTCCATACCATCCCTTCATACTTCGTTTTATTCTCTACCAATATAATAAAGGATTTTTCTTTCCATATATGAATTCCAATCATCCAAGATAATATAACTAACTCTTAATATGCTTACGAGATATGATTGTTAATATATCTAATCTAATCCAAATCTGATCTAACTAAATCGATCCGATATACAATTTGTATGATCCGAACACGTTAAATCGTTTATAAATAAAACAAATACAAAGCTATATCGATTCGGTTTGATAATAATCCAATCTAAATTTAATATTAATATTATTTTCGATAAATATAATATTTTAAAAACTTGAGCAAATCATGTTTCTAAGATCTGATTTGATCCGTTTATTAAACTAATCAAATTCAAATATAACGATTCGATTCATTAACGAGTCCCATGCAATGATGGATTATTAATGTCCATCCAAATATCGAATAATATAATCCATATTTCACCATAAACATTCAACCAACCATCAAACCCAAGACTAGCATTACAAAAAAACAAGCATACACAAAAATCCAACATCTATAGTCCCAATAATATTGAATTACAGTTTATTTGGGCTTTCTCTAGCTACAAGAATCATTTGTTTCTAAAACCATAAAAAACATCACAAAAAATTCAAAAGTTTATTAAGGGAATATGCAATTAACAATCTGAGAACACAGAAATCAGCAGCGGCATTAACATGGGATTTGATCAATGAACCATCTAAGTATTTTAACTGGAAGCCGCACTAAATCCATTGCGAAATTGGCCAGAGCAGCACAGCATACACAACACGGGCACAAACAACTCAATATCGTCCTGCATAGCTATAATGATTAGGGTTTGCTCTTCAAATCAATCATGAGTAAAAACTACACTCACACATTAAATTCTTCTACGCACCAAACAATGGACAGAGTCAGGATCAAACAAATTCAACAAAAACAGAAATTTCTTGACATAGCAACTTGAAATTCTTCTGTTCGAACAAAAGAATCAAGAAAGCAAAAAAAAAAAAAAAAAACGTACAAGAGAACAAGAAGAGATCGTACGAAAGGAACTCACCCAATGATCCATATCACAGCACCAACAATGGACAAAACCAGTGCAAGCAATGCAAAGGGAAGCCCCAACAAAAACGCTAATGGCCTGCAATTTCCCATTATCTTTCTTTCTTAATCTTGCTTCTTGTTCTTGAGTTTCGAATCAAGTAGGACAGGAACTAGTTCAAAGTGATCATGTGCTACGATTTCTAAGTACTGTAACGAGATTTCTGTACCTATTGAGAAACGGAACTGGAATATAACTACCTTCCTGAGTGGTTTTTGTACATTGACTAAAGTACCCTTGTGGGAATTGTGATTCTTTTGTGTTGGTTACGGTTTTTGGTTTTTTTCGGGGAGTGTAATGGGAAGGGCATTTTGGGCATTGTGTTTGTGGAATCTTCATTGTTGTTTCTTTTTGGTCACCTCCTCCTTTACAACTAGGCTCTCAAGAGCTGTCCTATCATTTTCAAATTGAAACTGAAACAATTTTTCCCTCTCAATACATGAAATAAGATAATGGGTATAAAGTGAAAACGTTATTGACGTTGAGGATTTAACGTTGGAGATTTGGATGGTTTGTTGTATTTTTTATTTATGTAGCATATAGTTTAATACATCTTGAATTACATAATAAATATATAGATTTTATTTGTATATAATTCGCATACTTTTAGAATTATTTCGATTGATATCCTTTATTTTTTTATATTAATTAAGACTCTTAACTCTTTATTTTATTTAATTGTGTTAGATTAGTTTTTTTGTATTATTTTATTATTTATCAATTGTTTAATTATTTTTCTTTAAACTATACATAGTTTTATTGTGTTATGGGATCAATAATGATATATGTCAATCATTTAGAAATAATATTTAACGGTAATGTTTCACGTTGAATGAAAAATTAACGAGTACTATAACGAGAGGAATGGAAACAAAATAAAATAAAAAATAGAGAGATTCGATCAATAAAAAGAAAAGTGTAGAATTTTAATTAAAACAAAATGAATATAAGATCTCAATTAAAATAATTCAAAGACTATAAAGTACTATAAACACAAAAAAAAAAAAAAAAACCCATACAAATAGCTATCTTTCATTTTATAATTGTAATTGAGAAATTATTAGGTTCCAGATTTTCTTCACTGTAAAAAATTATTAAGTATACAATTATTAGGTTAAATATGCTTATGTGATAGTTTGTCTTTGATTAAATTATAGAGATAGAATTGATCTCAATGCAAAGAAGGAAAAAGTGATTGACACAGCCTACCTCACACCCATAAATAAATAAATAAATTCTATAAATTCTTATGTTGGGCTTCAATTTTAGTTTTGGACCGAGTGAGGCCCAAGTTTTGAAGGCCATGTGAAGTGGTTTATTTGCAATGCGAGACATTGAACAAACAAGAATAAAAACATATGGGCCTGATTCAATGCTGAATTTAAGGTTTACACAGCCCAAAAGCTAAATGATGTTTGATGGTGGGCTTTTCCATCTCTGAAGTGCGGTAAAGCAATAGCCTTGGTTTTGAACGCAACTATAAAAAATCCAAATAGTTTATTTGAAAATCCATCTTTCAAACTTTTAATTTTATTGGACTTTTCTCTAATTATTTTTTATTTAAAATTGAGTCCTTGTGGTAGATTTTTTATCATTAATTTTAAGATATAAGTATAATTCTTCAGCTACTAAAAGCATGTTAAAATTTGTAAATACTTTATTTTTAAAAAAAAAACTTGTTTTTTTCCTCCTAAACGCTAAAAATAAGTAATTAAGAAACAATTTAAAAAAAAAAAAGTGCAAGATTTAGAGAGAAAAGCAATGCATTCGTAGCTTCAACATATTTTGACATGTTTGGAAAGTTAAAAGATTAATAACATACAAGTTACGAGTATTTTTACTGTGAAGATTGATGAAAATCTAATAAAAAAAATCTGAAGAGAAATTTAATCAGAAATTAAAAGTTAAAATGTCGATTCTCAATTGGTTTAAAATTTATGTAAGATTCAAACCATTTAACCTTATAAAAACCTAATTTTAAAACCTATAATTTAGTCCCTTATCTAACTTGTGTTATTCTATGCATATACATAGGTAGGGTTCCTTACACTCATTATAAATATTGACCATTCAATGTCATTAAAAAAAAAAATTAATCCTTCTTTTTTCGAAAAAAAAAAAAAAAACAAAAGGAAAGGAAAGAAAAAAAGAAAAACATGCATGGGCCATATTTATAGTAGGAAATCATTCTTTTCTTATGGTTGATGTATGATATGATCAAGGATAAAGTAGTAGATGATTTTATGTGTAGTTGCTCTCCTACCGCCCTATGATTTCAGTTGTACTGATTTAATTTCCAAAAAATAGCCCTTAACCCTATTTTGAACAGGTCAATTCCAGCACGCACTTGTTTTCTTCTTGCATGTATGATTGTTTTCCTTCTCTGACGTAGTTACAACGTACGTTGTTAGTTGTCTTAGCTCACTAGTCATTCATGCCCAAAGTTTTCTAGTACAACATCAAGGCACAGCACTATTGCCACCTTCATTTTTATCTATAGATCGAGTTGACAGTTCAATATGGTTTTATATAAAAGACAATTCTTCAATTTGTTTTTATTTATTTAATTGAATCAATTTTTATCCTTCAATATACAGTATATTTTTAATTTATCACTTTAGTAAATTTTTGAGACTAAACTAATAGATTTAACTACATTATTATTTTTTATTATCAGAATATTTTTACCAACTAGACAAATGAGAAGTTTTTATATAAATTGATGAATTATTATATATATATATAATGAGTTTTTCCGATAACATGTAGTTATTCTCCAATACCAAAGCTAACTTCATTTTCGTCAAGATTTGAACTCGAGAATTTCAAATAAAAATGTTAACTTTTAATAGCTCAGCTATCCTTTTTTATAAATGAAAAGTAAAAAAGACTATAAACAAATAAATTATTAGATGAGTCTCATTCTCCATGAATCCATATATACCTTGGTGCACGGTGATGGATTCCAAAATTATTTCTCTAGGAATCCCACATAATTTATGTACTTGACCAGGCAATCCAACCCTATAATTAATAGTTCTCAAAAGGAAAAAGATTATTGCATGTAGAATTGTAAATATTACATAGAAATGGCATACGTCGTATCCCAACAAAAACACAAGTTGAAAAGTGTATTGGCAGACATGTAGTGTGTATATATACACGTAAAACTCTCACATTCAAACAAAATACTTCTCACCACAAAACTCTACGATTTGAAACATTTCAGTGAATGACAAAAAGCTCTTCTCCACACATATACCTAGTGATGACAATTGCCATGTTGTCCTTAAAATATCATATCCATTGTTGGCATATGTAGCTCAAAACTCAAATCAATCTTGTATGATATGGATCTACATGCTGTGTTCTTTGCAACAGTGACTAAATTTAATAATTCAATTATTATTGTTCGTAGTAAATTATAAATTATATCAGTGTGTTTAGTTTCAAAAAACAAGTCGATTGTTTTTTTTTTTAATTTTAAAAATTAATCGTTTAATTTTTTTCATCAGCATTGATCATGATTAATTTAATATTATTTTCTAAAAATATTTTATTTTATCACCATTATTTATGTATATTTTACTTTAATAAAAAAAAAGACTAAAGATTGAAAATTGTGACAATTGATGACGTCAGACATTATAGTTGTTTGTATACGTTTTCTTTTCTAGTTTATTTCTAACTTAATCTATAATGAGTGTGATCTTATTTTTCATGCTTCCATTAAATTCTAGATTAAGTTTCTTAATTAAAAATTTAATTCCTTAGGATATAGAAAAGGGGGAGGGGATGGAATTAATATTAAATAATTAAGACCTACCATATAGATGAATATGAAATGAGTTTATACATATTATAATATATGGTTATCTTTGGCTACACGAATTTGCAGCATCAACAACTTGACTTTATTACATTTTCTCATGCGAAGTGATGCATGAAAAAAAGGCTAAGGATATTTATATATGTCTTTGCATGATTGAAGAGGAAAGAACTCTTTGAAACAGCATTTCTTTCACCGGTTTTCACGTCTTGACTGATTGGTAGATCAATAATGGACATGTCACATGTCAAGGAACTAAAGAGTAATTAATTAATGCCTGCTAACGGAGCCAGCCAAGAAGAGTACATGTACCTTTTTTTTTTTTTTTTACTCAAAACTGTTGAAAAAAATACACAAATCCCATCAACGTGAATCCTAATTGCTTTTATTCCATTATAGTAAAATCGATATCAAAGATTAAAACAAAAAAGTTATTTTCTTTTCGTTTTAACCGTTAGTTCATCTTTTTCGAATAGTGTTTTTGTAGATTAATTATCTTTTTTCCGATTAATTTCAATTGATTCTACACAGATCATATATATATATTATTTTTTTATCGATCGATTTCAGTTGGTTCTAAACAGATCATATGTAATTGACTTAAATTTGATGTTGAAACTAGTAGTATAGATCAACAAAGGAAAGAGGGTCCCGTTACTTTCGAAACTGAGATTGATCTATCATAATTACTGCCTAAATTAACAGGAAAACCAGCATGGTGGGGAAGGGAGACAACTTTACTGGAAATTTTGTGTTGTTTTGCGAGATGGAGAAGGGGGACCTCGAGCAGGACTAGGGTTTTGGACTGATTTAGAGAGTGGAAAAGGGGGACCTCTTTTGGAGAAAAAGACGCATTGACAAAGAAAGTTAGATTCCTAATTACAACATCTACACTTTCAACAACAATTATTGTTGTTTTAGGGACCCATTTTGTAACACATGTGTCCCTATCTATGATATGTGACCATTGTTAAGACATCAATATCCTTTTATGTAGAAGTAAGTGATACTTATCAAACTGCAAAAATTGTTTTTTTCTTCAGATATCTGGTCCCTAGATCCATCGATTTAGCCTAACATAATTGAGCTACCCTTTACTTGGACATTGGCATAGATAAGATAGATTCCAATTTCTGAAAATTAGACAGTTAATTTTTTCCATATCTGTGGATCCAAGTTGCTTCAGGATTGGCAATTTTGTTACCATTACTAGCATTCATTTTT